CGTGCACATACACGTTTAGGATTGTGAAGGCGCCTGAGGGTGCGAAGGATGGAGCCACTGACGAAGGAAACAGGGACGGCTGGCCTGAAGGCACAATGGAAGGCACCGAGGAGGGTGGAACCGAAGGCGTAGATGATGGAGTGGCTGAAGGACCGGGTGACAGGGAAGGCACAGATGATGGGTTGGCCGAGGGAATGCTGGAGGGATTGACTGTTAGAGCGCTTGTAGGATTGAGGGGGCAAATCTCACACAAAGGAGACCAGATCCCAACACTTGATACTGGATCAATTACCAGAGTTGGTACGGTTGTTGAAGTGGGACAGCCACTACCATGGAACGTGCTGGAGAAACTTGGCAAAGCTCCTGTGAAAGGTAGATGAACATTCCAAGCACACAAATTTTGGTTGAAAACGATTGCACCATAGAACCTGTTTTCAAACAACCGAAATCCTGAGTACACCCATGGAAGAAACAGAGAATACACTACCTGACCAATTCACTTACATTTCATCAAAGTTGGCCACTTGTTTGACCTTCCATTCCGAGATGTCTTGATTGAAGGCACAATCACCAGAGGGGCATTTGAACATGCCAGTCATGTCTTGGACATTTGACACATCCCAGATGCTGACAACTTGGTTGAAAAGTTCCGCTCCCTCAAACATGCGTGCCATGTCTTGGACATTTGAAACATCCCAGTTGCTGATATCTTGGTCGAAACTTCTCGCTTCATTAAACATGCGCGCCATGTTCACAACTTGACTGGTCTCCCAGTTCTTGATGTCGCGGTTGAACAAAGTTCGATTTTGAAACAAGCCACTGAAGTCACGAATCCGGGAAACATCCCATGTGGCAATGTCAGCTGTATTGGCCACTGGTTGCGCCAAACATGCTTCAAGCTCGGCTCTATTTGCCAACACTCTTCTTCCAAAAATTGGCCGTTGGGGGCAGGTTGGCATGGATGAGTTTGGCCTGGTGCTTGGACGACTTGATGGCGAAGCACTGGGTAATAAGCTTGGGATGGAACTCGGATCATTGCTAGGTGCCTGGCTAGCACTTGGATTGTAGCTCGGTTGACCACTAGGCTCAGTACTCACTGAGGGAGCTCCACTCGGCAAGTTGCTTGGATTCGAGCTTGGGGTGCTGGATGGTAAGTAGCTTGGTGTGGCAGATGGCAGGGAACTTGGTGGGTAGGATGGTTGGTGGCTTGTGCTGGGACTGTGGCTTGGCGCACCACTGGGACGAAGACTGGCTGTGGGAGATGAGCTTGGCCTGGCGCTTGGACTACTTGATGGTGAAGCGCTGGGTAATAAGCTTGGGGTGGCACTTGGAATGGCCCCCGGATCACTGCTAGGTGCCTGGCTAGCACTTGGATTGGAGCTTGGCTGGCTGCTCGGGAGAGCGCTGGCTGTTGGATTTGTGCTGGGACGGCTTGATGGGATACTAGATGGGACAAAGCTGGGGAAATTGGATGGTAACGTGCTTGTTGTAGGCGTGCCAGAAGGCATAGTCGAACGAACCAGGGACGGTTGAGCTGAAGGCACAATGGAAGGCACAGAGGAGGGTGGAACTGAAGGTACAACCGAAGGCGAAGTTGATGGGGCGGATGACGGCGTACCGAAAACCGCTGTGCGCACATCTACAACCAAAACCGATTGGGCAGTTTTGGTCACAACGAATTCAGTAAAGAGAGCCTCGCCCACTTGCTGACTTTCGTAATACACATCAGACTTGTACGGCGTGACGGTCACTGTAACATACACGGAATCATCAATTTGGAGGTCGCCGCTTGCCAAAAAGACACCAGACTCGTAGTTCCCATTCCCCTGGTCTATATATGTGGAAATGTTTGTACCACCTCTATCGACCTGGATGATGAAATCCAATGTGTCAAAAGGATAATCAACCTGGGCAATGATTGCAAGCGACGACTCGGAAATCGTAAAACTGTTATCTTGTGCGACAGATTGAATTTCGTTGTTGCTCCCATCGGACAGAGTAAGATCAGCTGTAAAAGGGGGGGGATTCACAGTGAAGAGCACTTCGTGGGGTGTGCCAGCCACGGACCCCTTGTATGGGGTAGCTTTCACACGAAATGTGGCGCTATCTTCCGTATTCCACAATTCACCGTAGTCTGTCCCCGACACAAACTGTTGGTCGGACAAGCCAAGGGAAATTTCGAAATAGACGCTCACTGATGAATCGTCGACGTCAGCCCTAATACCAAGCGATGACGCAGAAGTTGTGAATTCATTCTCAGGACTGAAGAAAATGCTTGGTTCGTCAAAGTCATACAAGGTAAAACCAGTGACGGAAAAGGAACCAGTAGGCGCTGAGGAAGGAGATGTGCTGGGAGGCTGGGACGGCAACGAACTTGGTGTCCATGACGGCAAGAAGCTTGGTGTGGATGACGGCATCAAACTTGGTCCCGCAGACTGCAAGGAGCTTGGTCCCACAGACGGCAAGAAGCTTGGTGTGGATGACGGCATCAACTTGGTCCCGCAGACTGCAAGGAGCTTGGTCCACAGACGGCAAGAAGCTTGGCGTCGATGACGGCATCAAACTTGGTCCCCAGACTGCAAGGAGGATGACGGCATCGAACTTCCCGCAGACTGCAAGGAGCTTGGGTCGATGACGGCAACGAACTTTCTGCGGACGGTAAGAGTTGTGACTGTTGGTGCTGGAGTTGGTGCTCTGTGGGGCTTGCACTTGGTGCCCCAGGAGACACTGTTGGTATGGGTGACGGTCGTGGGGTTGGTAAATTAGATGGCATTGTTGATGGTGAATAAGATGGCGGCGAGCTTGGATTTTTTGAGGGCATGCCAGACGGTGGTGAGCTTGGGGTTTTGGATGGCTCCGCAGAAGGAGCAGAGCTTGGTGCATGGGAGGGTATACTGGACGGTGGCTCCGTTGGTGGTTCAGTTGGCGGTCTGTGGGCTTGCACTTGGTGCCAGGAGACACTGTTGGTATGGGTGACGGTCGTGGGGTTGGTACATTAGATGGTGGTGCTGACGGTGAATAAGATGGCAACAAGCTTGGAGTTGTTGAGGGCACACCAGAAGGGCAAGCTTGGTGCATGGGAGGGTATACTGGATGGTGGTTGAGTAGGGGGCTCTGTGGGTGGTTCAGTTGGAGGCTCTGTCGGGCTTGCGCTAGGGGACCCAGGGGGCACTGTTGGTATTGGTGATGGTGCCGGAGTCGGCGGCTTTTGCGAAGGTGAAGCAGATGGGGTGCCAGTTGGCGACTTGCTTGGAGGGGAGGATGGAGTTGCGGTTGGGCCCTTTGAGGGACTAACCAATGGGGTCAACGATGGATGTGACGACGGGTGGCCAGAGGGAAGCTTTGATGGAACCAGAGATGGACCAAAGCTGGGCGAGCTGCTGGGGAGGGATGAAAATGATGGCACCAAACTGCTGAGTTAACAACCTCTTGTACTCCCGTGGCAATTAAACCATTCTCACTCATGGCAGCGTCACTGTTGAGGCGGGTCATAAACTCTTGGTTGTCTCCTACCAAAGTGCTTCCATCCGCTTGTTCAAATTGGGTATCGAAGGAAGCCGATGACACTGTGTTGTCTTGTAAGCGCCTTCGCCCGATGCTCCGCCGCACTGTGACTTGGAGCAACTGTGGGGCACAAGCAGAGGCATTGAAAACAGCCTGTCTAAAGACGCCCAGCAAGATCGGCTCATCCATCGCAAAGATGTTGCCATTAAAGGACACTGTGTAAGTCGCCGATGCACTGGTATAGGGTAAGCTACAAGATGCCGTAGGATTGACAGAAGGGATCGTAGATGGTGGTTCTGGCGACGCAGTTGCTGGACTTGGACTCGAAGGAGTTGATGACGGCTGCCAAGATGGTGCAGATGATGGATGCGCAGAAGGTGTCAGGGAGGGGAGAGTGCTTGGAAGACTTGATTGGGCGGCACCGGTTGGTCCAGTCATCGGGGCACCTGTTGGGGCGCGTGTTGGGTTCAGAGATGGCAGCGCTGATGGGTTAACGCTGGGACTAGGAGTGGGTCGAGGACTTGGCTCATTGGTTGGATTTGGCGTGGGCTCGCTTGTTGGATTTGGCGTGGGCTCACTGGTTGGATTTGGCGTTGGCTCGCTGGATGGTTCTGGGGTTGGTTCTGGTGTTGGAGCGACGGTCGGGTTTGATGTTGGGGTGGTGGACGGCGCCTCCGATCCCCCCGCCGGTGCTGGCGTCGGCGTCAGGATGAGATTAGTTGTCCTATTGGGGGCTCCTGGCGGTTCCGTCCGTTCGAGAGTACCATTAACGATCAGTGGGTCCAACGTCGTTACATTGGGTCCCACCGGTGGAAGAGTCGAAGGAACGATGGTTGTGCTATTGGGGACGACCGTCGTACTGTTTGGGTCCAACGGGAATGGCGGAGTGGTGGTAGGGCCGAGCGTTGACGGCTTTTGAAGATCATCAATCACCACCACTTCTTGGACATCAACCTCCACAATAACGTTCGCCACCGCCACCTCCGCCGTGATTCCTTCTTCTTCTTGCGCCTCTTCAATTCGATCATTGAACTCTTCAACGAAAACTTCAGCGTTAGGAGCCGGTTCGGCACCGGGTTCTTTCCCGGGAGGACAAATGCAAACTCCACCACTTTCCTCCGATTGCATTCTTCGCACAAGCGGGGAGCGCGTGGATCGTTTCGACGTCACCAATCCTCGACGAAAGAAGCTGTCACCGAAGATGTTGAAGCTCCCGGTGGGAGAAACTCTGCAGTTTCGGCATGTGCCGGTTACAAAGAATACAGCCGAATCCACCCGGGACACATTGGCCTCACTTAGTGCTGTTGTGACATTTTCGAGCAAATCAGTGGTCCCCTGAAGGCGGCGACCGGATGTTCCCACAACAAGCGAAACATCATTGACGCTGCGGAAGAAGCCATCGCAGGCATCAAAAGACAACGAGTTGTAACTATCCCTGAAACCACTCTGAAGTGCCTCCTGATCCTGTCGAGACAAAGTCCTGGGATCTACACCCAAGTCGACAACCACCGCAGAGCGGAATTCATGAACAACTTCACTGCAATCAACGGGTGCACCTTCCGCGATGTTTTCGGGAGTTGATTCAACTGATGGGAGAGATCCACCCTCAGAGATCTCTACAAGATCCTGCGTGAAAACGTCTTGGAACTGGGCAATCGTGGGGCCACCGCCTTCTCCTGGTTCAGTCCCAACCGGACACACACAAGACCCTCCGATCTCGAGACTTCTCTCTACATTCAAGCGGCCTGTGTACGACACTGGACTTGCTTGCAATCTTCGAAACAGATCGCCAAAGAGGTTAAAATGTCCTGTGGAAGAAACTGGACAGTTTCTGCACTCTCCAACAACCGTAAAGCGAGCGGATCCCACCCTTGTTGGTGCCTCGTATGTGTAGTTTTGTCCTCCAAGCGTGTCATTGAACAAGGATCCAGGTGTCGATGACATTGTGGAATCCGAAGGCTGGGTGGATCCGAACTGTAGACGCCTTGTCGGATGAAAGTCTCTTGGACTCACAATCCGCATCTGGACATTTGAGATGCTTCGGAAGTGCCCATCACAGAGCGCATACGAGAGACTGTTGAAAGTCCTTTGAAACGTCGCTTCAATCGTGGAGATTTCATCGTCTGTCAAGGAGGTGAGATTCAGCCTCAAATCCGAGAACACTTCAGACTGAAACTGCGACACGTTGGTTCCACAATCAACCGGGTGTCCTTCTTGAAAGTCACTCAGCTCGATCGATGACGATGATGATGCGTCGATCTCGGCCTCCAACAAGGCTCCAAAGGCATCGACAGAGGGTCCGTCAAGCTCCCCCGGTTCCAGAGCTGTCGGGCAGATGCACCCCGCATTGGAATCCTGCAGTATCCTGTCGTGACCGCCGCCACCACCAAAGGATAGCTCACTCAGTCGACGACGAATGGCTGTTTGGTCGGCATCAATATCCTCAGTATCAAAGATGTGAAAGTACCCAATGTCCGAGACGTTGCAGTCTCGGCAAGTGCCCGTGATGGTGAATCGGGCCGTGCCGGTGGCCGTGCCATTGGCCCATTGCGTTGTGTCGTTCGAGTGTCGAGCAAAGAACGAATCGGTCTCTTGAAGAACGAGCTCGACGTTTGTGATTCTTCGAAAGAACGGGTCGCACACGGAGAATGCCAAGTTATTGTACGTTTGGAGAAAGAGTTCTTCGACGTTGCCAATGTCGGTTTCGGTAACATTCCTCATCTCCACAGCTGCCACGACCTCGGATGAAAAGGTCGTGACTTGGGGAGCACATTCGACGGCATGTCCTTCGACGACATTGTCCAAGAACAACTCGCCCACTGCATTGAATTCATCGCGAAAGTCGGCCGCCGAAGGCACGTGTTCGACTCCGGGTTGGGTTCCCACCGGACAGGCACACGACGATCGTCCCGTGGGCATGCCTCCTTCTAGAAGACGACCCAGTTGTCGTCGTCGCCGTCGGTAGAGACCCTCAAAGAGCCTCTGAGCAGTAGTAGTGGAGTTGCAATTGCGACAGGATACCGCGACGGTGAGCATGGTCGTGCGACTTGTCGTATTGGTAACCACGTCGTCATCGTCCATTTCGGCGACTTCGACACTGACAATGCGTCGAAACTTTTCGTCACATGCCTCGTATGCCATGCGATTGTAGACATCGTGGAAGCGTTCCGCGAGTTGTCCGGCGTCGGACGATGTAGTGTAGTCGACAAAGACGACGGTCGAAAAGGTCTGTGGTGGACTCGTTGCACCACTACACTCCACCAATTGGGCTTGACCCACGTAGTAGACCATCTCTTCGTGTTGTTGTTGCAAGGACTCTTGGAGTTCCGCGGCAGTAGGTGCCCGAAAGGCAGTGGCGTTCTTGGGACAAAAGCACAGGGTGGTGGCGCCTATGCGTGTCACCGAGGCTGGTGGTGGTGGTGTGGTGGGTGCGGCTATTGTCGTTGTCGTCGCATTATTGTTGCTGCTAGCACTAGTACTAAAGAGCAGTGTATCTTCTTGACAGTCCCGGCATTCGACCAGCACGTTGAGTTGGATGGATGCCATGCCGTGCGACACGACCGTTTGAGTGGCGTGTGCCCTCAAGATGCGCCGATGATGCGGTAAATCGCACAAGTGGAAACTGAGTTGATTGTACGTTTCCATAAAGAGTTGCGACCAGTTGGTCTGGTTCACCGCCTCGGTGGCTACTTGCAATAGGACTTGAGTGGAGAGTTGTTGGATTTGGTCGCTGCACGCGTATTCGTTCACTGCCACGAGATCTTCTTCTTGATTGTCGTTGTTGTCGACTTGTAGTCGTCGAACGGGTTGCTTGGGTGATTGCTGCTGATGATGTTGTTGCACGGCGAGAGCCAGTCCTTGTTCAAAGGAGTGCCGGGAAGGAAGTTGACATTCATTAGTGGCTGCTGCTGCTGCTGATGGTGTTCGTAGCAGACTTTTCCGGCTGGCAATGTTGTGGTTGTCGGCGTCGGCATCTTGCTGCTCCTGATCATCGTCGGAGACCGCAAAGAGCGGCAGCAGCTCTTGATGAAGATCACAACCCGAGCAAATGCCCGTCACGACATAGCGTTGTCGTACTTGGGGTGGTGATCCACTACTAGCAGTAGTACCGGAAGTTCGTCGGGGCATGAACCATTGAGGATCCTCATCATGTTGCGGAGAAGCCGGAGATGCCGAGTAAAGCCTCCGACTCCAAGGACAATCTTGTTGTTGCTGTTGTTGTTGCTCTTCCAACAACTCGTTGTAGACTTGCACAATCAGATCGTCCAGCCATTCCCCCTCTTTTTGGCTACTGGTAAAGTACAGGGAGGATTCAAAGTAACCATCCATCTCATGGTTGGAAGTCTCGCCAGGTTTCAACGCGGTTCGTCGCGTCATGGAGGGACCAGCATCCACCCGCGGCTGTACCAGCAGAACGGATACCATTGCGGCGGTTGTCACAGCACTCATTGTTGGTGTCATGTTGTCTCCTGATACAATCTATTGATTGTTTGGTTGATGGGTTGATAGCAAGGCGACAGATAGATCGGTATTGTCGCAAGTAAAGTGGTGGTACAGTACCGTAGCAGACAGCCTCTTGTTGCCTTGTGTTGTTCTGCTATCTGTGCCCTGGAATATTTTCGCAATGTTATTTCGGCGCTGTCGTTGGGCTTATCATTTACCAGGGGCTGGGTGGTAATCCAATTAAGACTGCAGTGCACCATCTGAACATTAAATTCATGTCAGTACCACCAAGCAGTCTTTCAAATCGCGTCTTCACAGCTTCTCTAAAAAAGATTTAAATACAGATGACACCTCACTGCTACAAAACAAGACGCTTTGTGTTCCAAGACAGCTCAGCCAATAAATAAAATTGTAACACTCGTGATCCATGTTGAAGGGTGTCGCCATCATGCAACTTAGAATTGGTGAATGTCTACCATGCTGTTCTGTGCTCACGTTAATCTTGGCTTGCTGATTGCTGGGAGTGCTGAGCACGTTCGCGGGAGATATTTTTACTATTTTAATACTGGTACCACTTTCTATGGAGCCATGTACCACTTTCTATGGAGGCATGACATGCTTATTTTATTAAACGCATTCGTAGCTCATGCATACTGTACCGCCGTATACCTCCGGTACTGGCTCAGTCGTCGCAGACATTAAAAAAAAACATTCATGCCTTAAAGAATGGTGCTCCTCATGTCAAGCGTGACCCTTCTCTTGACCAGGCCCTCATCAAAAATTGAATAATCCCCTACTCCCTGCTATTACAACATTAGCCAGGTCTCGATCGTCATAACCAGGATCGACCATTGGACTGGAAGACTGCGTTAATATTATATAGAATTGAAATTGTGAGAAACTGAAAAATAAAATTGTAAGAAATAAAAAATTGAAACTGGAGGAATTCAAAAATTGAAATTGTGAGTATTTGGGAATAATTGAAATTGTGAGGAATCCAAAAATTGAAATTGTGAGGAATGATTCAATCAGAAAAGTGGATTGCGAGAAATCGGCGAAATTGAATTTGTGGTAATTCAACAAAATTGAAATTGTGAGGAATCCGCAAAATTGAAATTGTGAGCAATTTAAAGTAACAATTGTGAGGAATTGGAAAATTGAATTGCGAGAATTGGACAGCTGGGGTAGCTGCTGGCTGCTGGGGTTTTGAGGAAGGAGTGAGTATGGTTGCCAACCATACAGTACGGTACTGCTAATCTAGACCTATCTCCTATCATATTGCCAGCCATCCGGCTAGCTAGATAAAAGCCAGTACTGTACACAGAGTACGGTGGAACAGATTACAGAATGATATCCACAGTGGTAGTACAGCTATTAGTAGTAGTACCATGAGGAGGAAAGATCATTCGTGTGCTGGCAAAACTGTCGATGCAAGGCAGTTTGGTGCTACTGTTTGTCTTGTCGAACTTGCAAGGCACTAACGGAGAAGGAAGAGGGTGTTGATTGGGGATACTGGCCGACAAGTTGTTGATTGAATGACAACCCCCTTCATCATGTTGCACTGACTGAGATTTCTGTATCTTACTGGCATTCAGTCCTCCTCTTGTTTAGCAGCTTCATCCTCCGCTTCTTCAGGTGACCCAACCTCCGCCATTTCAGGTGATCCATAACCCTCTTTTTCTCCTGATTCGTCCTCCTTTTGTTCAGCGTATTCATCCTCGCCGTTTTCAGGTGATTCATCCTCAGCGTTTTCACCTGATTCATCCTCCTCAAAGATGACAAAGACCTTGTCATCAGGTTCTACATCTGCTTTGAAGGAAGCATGAAGAATGGCCAAGATTCCTGGCATGGACGAATCCTCCTTGGCCTTTTGTTGAAAGAGCTCTTGATTTACTTGGATCCCATGAAGATTACCCAATCGGTAGGAGAGCATTTGGATTTCTTTCTCATCCAATGAAGATGACTCGTCTCGATCACTGTCCACAGAGAGTGGATATTGCAGTTTTGTCGTCGTGTATGCAAAAGGAGCAAAACGGTACGGTATAGTTTGGACCAAATCATAGAACGGGCAAAAGCTGTTTTGAGAGACAAATCAACTAGCTAGAGAATCATCAACACGGGGCTTGCATACTCGTACATACCTATCCAGGAACACATCTACTATTTGAGCAACCGCTTGTGCCTTTGTTGCTTTCTGGAATTTCACAAAAAGAAAAAAGATAAGCAAAGGATCCACGAGGAGCCTTATTGTGAGACAAGCGCATCTGCTTTGAGTAATGCCCGCCCTCATCAATCATCATGGGAAACACTTGATACGTAATCCACAAACTAAAACTACTCACAGTGATTGCTTTTGTGATTTCTCCATTTTCCTTGACGAGTTTGACCAGAGTCTCTACATCTTGTTCATTTTCCTGGGCAATAGTGCCCAATTCTTCCTCCACATGCTTTAGACTGGGGACCATACCGGTGGAAAACAAAGAAGGCATAAGATGGATGCATTTTGCTGATTTGTCTTGTACAGTACATGTATGTATTTCGTTAGAATTTCTCACCTCTTGACCTGTTTGACAAGATCATTGACATGACCACACAACTTTGTGTTTTCAGAACTCAATACATTGACGTTTTCTCGTAGTCGATTGTGCACTCGTCGGAGTCCGCCCTTATCTTCCATCTCCATCTGATTTTTCATGACGATGGGGGCGACCAATATCGCTACTATTCCTGCCACATAGACAACGGAGGTGCCAACAAACAGAATGGACAAGATGTTGAACGTGATACTGACGGCTCCCAATGCCAGCGTCAACAAAGTGACAATTCCAAACTGCGGAAACCACTCATTCTCACGTCTCTCGTTGGCCAGATTTGGCAGCTGACCCGACTCCAAGTCATGCAGAACCGATGCAGTGGCAATGGCCGTTTGTACTTTTGACGCCATGGTTCATCTATTCACTCACTTACTCGAGACAAGAGGAGACAGACAACCTCTATCTTCATGGTCCTTACACAGACAGATGAACAGAAGCACCCATCGTCGAGGCGTTGAAGGCAAAAATCAAAACTTCCGCGATCTACCAAGTGTCACTTACTTTCGAAAGTTCGAGAACCGTGACCCAAAAGCTTCGGGACTGGTGAAAATTTCGAAGCCAAGACGTCCTCGCTAAAACCTTGAACCTTGCCTCCTTCCCACTCCAAGGGTATCGTCGCTATCAGGATACTTCCCAGCTAGCTCTTGAGGAGAGAGCCAGCAGATAGAGCGAGGGCCAAGCATACAGGCTTAGAAGTTCTGAAATCGAATCCTCGCTCATCCACAACTCGGGCCACAGTGGGAAAAAAGCCGGTTTGTTCCTTTGATATCAAGCAACCACCATGAAGACCAAAGGCGCCCTCTCCGTCCGAAACCTCTTGACGAGTCAAGTGATCCTATGTAACTTACCCGTTTTGATTCTTGTGGTTGTAGCCTCTCTGGATGCGGCTGACAAGGCACTCCTGGGTTCTTCCTTTCCCCTCCTCGAACGGGAGCTCCATATGGATGTCGAAACGTTGGGTTACTTCTCCATGTTTACCAATCTCTCGTATGCCTTCTCCATGCCTCTCTGGGGATGGCTCGTTCACAAGTACGGCATGCAACAGATTCATCTCGTCCTCAGTGCCGCCTGCTTTTCCTGGGGAGCCGCCACCATTGGCATTGCCCTGTCGGGAGGGTCCGTCGTCGGTCAGGCAATCTTTCGATCGCTCAATGGTATGGCATTGGGGTCCATCTTGCCACTCAGTCAAACCATGCTCGTCAGCATGGTCGCACCCGTCATGCGAGGGCGAGCCTTTGGGTACATGGGCATGTGCGAAAATCTCGCCGGGACGGTAGCAGCATCCAGTATCGTGTACTTTGAAGACTGGAAACGATCCTATTATGTCTTGGGATTTCTCTCCGTCGCCATGGCTCTGATTGCCAAACACGAACTCACACCTGGCAAACGAGCCAAGGCGGTCACAAAGGATGCTAGTGGGAAAGTGCATGATTCCGATGAAGATGACTCGGATGCCAAAGATGAAGATGAAGCACAGAAACAGGCATCAGACGAACCAAAGCTGACGGTCCGACAGATTCTTCAACGCATTGCCCAGATCCCTGCCTTTGTCTGTCTCGTGGCACAAGGTGTCTTTGGTGGCATTCCATGGGATATGATGTCCTTTGTGTTGCTACTCATGGACTGGAGACAATTCACCAAAGAACAAATTGTGGCCCTGCAGTTCGCAACTGGCATTGCTGGAACATTTGGAAAGTGGCTCGGAGGATCACTCGGGGACTTTGCCTTTAGTCGATGGGGCAACCAAGGAAGAATTGGAGTGGCATTTGTCAGTGTCATGGCTGGGATTCCACTCTATGGCATGTTTTGCTTTGCCAAGACCTACTGGGCCGCATTCCTGTACAAGATTCTCTTTCAGATTGTAGCATCCTGGCCCCCCGCTGGTGCCCTGCGACCCATTTGTGCCGATCTGGCTCGTAATCCCAGCGAACGAGCACAGATTGTCAGTCTCTGGATTGTCATGGAAAAGACATCGGGATCCATCTTTGGAGCACCCCTCGTGGGATATCTTACCAGTCACATGATGGCTATGGAAGAAAACAACAACGACATTGGACTAAGGGATGAAGCAGAACTGTCGGGAAAAGCCAATGCTTTGGCATTGAATTTGTTTGGATTGTCGACATTCTTTTGGGTCGTTTGTGCCGCGTTTTGGGTTGGCATGTCTTTCACCATTGATCGTGATCTCAAGGGAAAGGAAACACAATTGACGACAACGGCCCACCGTCGTCAAAACGAGGCAGGGGGCGCCAAGGACGGTGATGAACTCAGGAAACCATTGTTGGCAAGTGTTTAGTCATTCGTTGAAATAGCAAAGACAAAAAAACAAAGAAGTCCAGCTTATGTAGATGTCTCGAAGGAAGGGAACAAAAAAGGGCACCTATTTTAGAGCAAGCATAGCGTGAAAGAGTGGTCCGACAGCTAAAAAGAAAACCTGCGAGATGAAAGTCACCTTGCCGTAAACTAAGCACATCAAGGGCTTCTCTCTTGGTCAAATGCAGCTTCCTGTGTGGATACATGTACTGGTTGTGCACCACCGCAACCTTGCAGCACAATCTTCGACCGTACTACAGCAGGAACTCATAGTTTCTAGATGTTCTATTTTCTTCTCATATTGGCGACTTGCGTTTTCGCCCTGCCAGCCTCGTGTTTGGTGGGCTGCTGCTCCAAATGCTCGGATTCTGGCGCAAAAGACCATACTGTGCGTTGAACAGGTCCTCGTCGAGCAAATCGTTGGTCATGGTTGTCCGGCATAACTGTTCTGTCAAGCATTCCCGAGACGTCCCCGAATCCCATGCCTCCTTGCGACCCACACGGTTCAACAACGTGTAGTACCAAATTTGTTCGTCTGTTGTAGGTTGTCGTCGTTCTGACAGTATAATACTGGTATCTTGCAGCGTCGTGTTTTTTTGCGCCAAAAGAGATGCCAATGCTGCCGTGTTATTGTCTTGATGGACGTCACTGTTGTTGAGAGTCTCTTGAATGTGATATTTGATGAGATGGGTATTGTCGTTTAGCGCCCTGGTCAGAGGTAGGTAGGGATCCTCAGTCTTATCTCTGCTTGGCAGATTGATGGCGGTCAAGGATTCCATGGGTGTTTGTCGTAGAAAGTCCAGAAGCACCAGCGACAAGCCCCGGGCATGACACGATTCCACAGCAAGGTGCCGAAGCGATGCCCGCTGCAACATGTCTTGTAAGAGCTCGCAAACCCATTGTCCAGTGATACTCTTTAGCGACAACCGTCGCACCCTTGAGTTGTTTTCCAGTGGACTCCAAGAAGTACATGCATGACCATCTTGCTGCTCTTGATTCATCACGACAATATTCTCCAACGAGACGTTTGCGGGACACTGCGGACTTGCCACGAGGCTACTGAGCAAGCGTGTATCCGCTAGTTTGAAGTGGCACAGTCGTAGTTCCTTCAACCTTGTTGGCATGCCGATCGATGTTCGGACTGTAAGCCCATCATGCAATGCTTGAAAGCTCTGCGCGTCTGTCTCATCGTCCCAATGCCATGGCTTGGCTTGTCCCAAAAGTGTCAATTGTCGGACATTGGAAGTGGGAGATTGCAGTAATGCTCGCAAACTTTCGGCCGCTTTGGCGTCATAAAACAAGGTTCGGACCAGTCGCAAGGACAATGTTTCAATGGATGTATTGTCTTGCGCCAACGCTTGTCCCACCAATGCCGTCCATGCATCAGTAGACCACGTCGTGTCCAATTCGCAGTGAAACGCCTGCAATTGTGGCAGGAGTACCGAAACGCCTTGTACCAGCGACAATGTCCCATCGATGGATTTGAAAAGACGGTACTGTTTTGTCGTCGTCGTTATTCGTCGAAACAACAATTGCAAGACGTCCGCATGGTGACCCTCCAGAAGAGCTCGTTCCAGTGGCAAGTGTCCACCAAAATCTCTCGTTTCCAATGCGGGTGGATACAAGTCCAACAACATGCGCAAGGTAGGTTGTGGTCGTCGGGCTCGCAGTGCATGATGAAAGGGATAGAGTCCACAATCGTCGGGAATGGATGCGGCCTTTGGAAATTCCTGTGCCAAAAAGAAAATGACGTTGCAAGATGCTGACAAACTACACGCGTCGTGGAGTGGCAATCGTCCGCGGGCATTGGTATATGTAATGGCGGATGGTGCCAATGCATAGACGGTCGCTATTTGTTGAACCGGTGCTCCCGTGAGAATGAAATAGGCCAGTGGTGTGTAGTTGGTATCGAGACACGGAGATTCGTTGGTGGTTTCTCGATAGACTTGACTGGCGAGAGCAGGATGGGCTTGGAGCAACTCGAGGGCTTGTTCGCGTTGACGGGGTGTGCTTACACTGTTGCACAGAATGGAACGCACTTTATTACGAGCTTCTTCTTCAGTCTCTTCTTCTTGTCGCTGCCGTGCATCTTCTTCTTTCATGGTCGTTGTTTCGGTGGTGGTGGTCGCCATGGTTGTCTTGTCTTTTGGATGGATGGACGAGTAGACAGTTGTTATTACCACTCTACTAGCTAGCCGGTACCGCTACTTGTTCTTTGGAGCAATCTTGACTGCTTCTGTTAGCTGAGGATTTCCCTTTCCAACTATTACCACTTCTTCCTTCTTTACCTCTTAGTAGTAGACAAGATAGAATAAGCTACCATCCAAGTTCCACACCACAGCCATCAACAAAGAAGCACCTGCCAAAGAATAGATGAAAGTGGATCCAAGCAACGATAATCAACCGCAAAATGAAAGCTTCGACGATCAAGCAAGGTTTCAGATCCTCCTTCCTTCCTCACAGTTCTGGGGGAACGGGGAACAGAACCCAAAAGCACCTGGACGAAAATCTTCCGGACGACGAACATGACATCATTGGAGTTCTTTCTGGTTGGCTTCTCATGCATGCATCGTCAAAATTAAAAGCTTGCAGAGCTTCTTTTTTAAAAGTTGGCTTTCTTGCAACAAAGATCGACAAATAATGGATCCTCGACGTGCATGTTCGAAGCCAGCACGTTGACCGGATTGGGCGTCACAGGTTAGTTTCTTTGGAATCGAAGTGAGTGCATGCATACCTGGTATTGGTTGCTCATTGTTGCTTTCATCCATTGTAGACTAAATACCCTCATAATACTCAAGCTTCCTCACTTACTTGAACGTGCAGGCCGGCAAGCAAGTGGCTTTCCTTATATCTACCTCACCTGAATGAAGCCACACCCATAGAAATCCATTTCGGCAGCAGTTGAGCGTTGGCAAGAAAGACTGAGGTTGCCGTGCTGTATTGGACTTGTTGTTGTTCCGAACAGACAGTAAATCAATCATGAGGACTGCCAACACGTGTCACAGTGGTGCCAATGATGATGGTACCTGTATTTCCACAACCAATCCTGAGGATTGGGTCTCTCTGGTAGGCAAAGTCTGGTTGGATTATTTTTGGCCCAGTTTTGCCTGGCAAGATATTCTCTTGGTCAGTTTTTCGACGCTCTTCTATTCCGTCCTCTTCTTGACGGTCGTCTACTTTTGGTGGGCCAATCGACAATTCCACTTTCGCAAACGACAAAAGGATGGATCAAGACTCAGTATGGTCGCCACCAAAGCCGATGCCTTGGAATATCAGCGGCGACTTCGCGCCAAAGCCAAAGATGATACGGATGATGATTCCAGTGAGAGTTCCAGTCTGACTGGTGACGCCGCTGAAGACAACATCAACAATACGAATAGTCAGGACGATGCCGACAACAATAGCATCGACAATTACAGTTGGGGATCCTTCAATGATGGCGATCTCAGTGATTACGACACGGACGACAGTGACGAAGAACAAGAAACACAACAACCACCACCATCACGATCAACATCCTCCATTCCCAAAGTACCCATGAAACGGCGCAATTCCGCCTTTATCAAAACATTTCCACCCGAAAAACGACAACAAGTCAAGGATCTGACCGCCGTCGTGTCACAAATGGAAGTTTTCAGCTATCTCAGTCAAGAGGCATTTGTACAGTGCCTCGAATACATGGAATATGTCGATCTCGCGGCGGATGAAGTCCTGTTTGATCAAGAGACACTCGATGGATCGCTCTATGCCGTCGTTTCGGGACGCGTCAAGTGTCAACTCGAGTTTGTACAACCATCACAACAATCACAAAAAGCACCGTCGCAACCAAAAATGCACTTTGCAAATGACAATAACAATAGCAACAATCTGTTCATGGACGACAATGATGATGATGACGACGAAGAACCCTGCATTAGTTTTACAGCCGGCAATGGGGATGTCGTCACATCCTTGCTCTCCATGTTGGCTGGATTGGTACGAAAATGTCAAGAACGAACCAACCAACAACACAACAACCAGCGTCATTGGTTGCTCCCCATTGTACCCGAGGGAATCTCGGTGCGAGCCGTGGGAGCCGTGCCGCATACCCGACTCGTCAAGGTGCCACCGCATTGTTTTCTGGGCATGTTGGATTCCTTTCCGCAAGATGTCCATCGGATTGCACAGACCATTATTGCACGGATGCAACGCGTCATTCTGCAAACGGTTGTCCGTTGTTTGGGACTGCAAAAGGAAATTGTGCGCAAAAGCAACAACAACAAATCGAGCAACAAAACCAATCCACTGGAAAAACTGCATCCCGTGGCATGGGCACGATTGCAGACCGCACTTCAAAATTATGTTCCCGATGCGGCTCCTCATACGGTGCAAACACAAGTCGCCAAAGATGCCGCTGCTGTTGCCACGGCACTCATCCTCGGATATTGTCATGAAGAAGAAGAAGAAGAAGAAACAACAACAGACCAACTGGCAATCTTGAAGAGTACCTACGACACCATCCACTCCGTGGGGTCGGTCATTTCCCTGGCACCGGGGCACAGCTTGATGGAAATGGGAGACACTCCGGATGCCATTTACATTGTCCTGCAAGGAAGTTTAGACGTTGGTATGCACGTCATGGGTGCTTCCTCGACACTCAAACAATCCCAACGACGAACGAGTATCATGACGAATCAACAACAACAATCACAGCGACGCAGTATCTTTCCACCCGCAGAAGGAAATAATGGTGAAGGCGGCAAGAATCGCCGTCGCTCCTCCATCAAGCGACCGTTTCAACAAGCCAGCAATACGACAAGTAGTGGTACCAATATTTCATCACAACGATTTAGTCGCATCGATCGAAACACCGTGGGAGAAATGGCGGGGCAACTCAATTGCTTCACGGGAGACCCCAACATTGTTTCCTGTCGCAACACCAGTGAATGGGAACCCGCCTTGCTATACAAGATTCCCAAGGGCACGTACGAATCGATTTTGGCAACGCAACCAATGGCGTTGACGGAATGTGTGGGGTCCATCTTGTATCGTCTGGGATCACCGATTGTCTGCTTGCTCGATTTCAATGTGGAGTGGATGCATGTAGAGGTAAGCAAAGCACAAAGCATGGACCTGCATGACTTTTGCACGTTTGTGTCGTCTTACGAGTACTTCACTTGCTCTCGCGCTGCAGGCAGGAGAAGATGTGATTCAAAAAGGTCAGTCTTTGCAAGAGCTCCTCTTGCCATGATCTCCAACCTGGGAATAGCATATCCGATTTCACAATTTTTATCGTTGCTCTTTCTTTGTCATTCTCCACGTCCAAACAAAAGGTGAGACCTGTGATGCCTTGTATGCCGTCTTGAACGGTCGCCTGAGGGCAGCCGTGGCACCTCTATATGGGCATTTCAATCGCAAATCTTCCGGTGGAGTGTCATTGGGATCGTCCATCCCAGGTCCTGAGGTTATGGACCGCAACAACAGTAAAGAAACAAACAAAAGCTTTCTCGCTCGGGCCAAACAACGATTCAAAAACAAAGTCATTGAGCGTTTCAAGAAGAACGCACCTCAAGTGGCCAATGCACCTCCACGACCTTCGCGCCGCATGATGGGCGAAGAAGCTCAAGGAGAAGAGTTCGGCAGAGGATCAATCATTGGCGAAGTAGAAATACTCACTGGAGCTGATTGGGCTCAAGATATTTATGCCAGTCGCCATTCGGAGCTCGCGAGAGTTCCAGTCAACGTTCTCAATGCTATCATTCGGATGTGCCCAAGGGCTGGTCTTCACTTGGCCCGGGTAGTAGCGTCTCAAATCCAGCGTAAAGCAAACGCCAGCAGGAAACAACAAAACCCCGGAATTGCCCCGACCTTAAACAAGAGTTCGCTCGGTCCTCCAATACAAGTCATCGGGGACTCTCCAAGCAAACCAAAGACAGCAACCACACCAGCTGGAATTGTTGACTCGAACAACTTCATGCCAAGCTACGGGCTGCCATTGGCTACCATTGCGGTTGTCCCAATGCTGGAAGGGGATTTCTCCATCGACGAGTTCTGTCAGACCTTGCAGAATACTCTCCACACCAGTATCGCCCCGACGAAGCTCATGACCAAGGCCTTTGCGCGTCAGGAACTTGGAGACGCCTGGAAAGAACGTAACGCCATGCACAAGCTGAAAATGACAAGGTTGTGCGGGGACATGGAAGAAAACTATCGGCTGGTTGTCTACCAAGCAGAGCACAAGTATACCTGGTGGACTCGGTTTTGCATTCAACGGGCAGACTGTATCTTGTTGGTTGTCAAGGCAGAAAAGGCGCCGCCGAAGAAGCAAGTGGAAGTTTGCTTGTCGTGGGCTTTTGCAGCCTTGAATGTGAAAATACAATTGGTAGTGTTGCAAAGCTCGTCAAAAGTCACCTTTACCGACGAGGACGACGAAGACTGGGAGGCCCAGGGTGTCTACGAAAACATGGCGAGTAGTGACGAGCTCAATGATTGGAGCGAGCAACGTTATTGGATTGCTGGGCACCATTCAGTCCGAACGCCGTTTCGGAAACATGCTGCAGACTTTGGTCGCCTTTGTCGTCGTGTCACGGGTCGATCCATTGGTATTGTCCTCGGAGGCGGCGGGGCTCGTGGTTTGGCACACATTGGGGTTATCAAAGCATTGATGGAAGCCGGCATCACAATCGATTTCGTTGGTGGGACGTCCCAGGGAGCTTACATTGGTGCTCTCTATGCCATGAACCCGGATGACTATCCCGCCTTGGTCAAAGCAGCAAAACAAATGGCGGACAGCATGGCCAACAACTGGGAAAAACTGCGAGACCTGACGCTTCCTCTGGTGAGCTTTTTCTGCGGGTACAGGTTCAACAGAGGAATCCAAAGATCATTGGGTCTTCGTCGTATCCAGGATCTTGTTTGCAACTTCTTCTGTGTGAGTGTTGATATCCGCAACAATGTTCAAGTTGTTCATACGAAAGGAGTTTGTTGGCGATACGTTCGCGCTTCCATGAGTCTTCAGAGTTATTTGCCCCCTCTCTCGGAAGATGGTGTATTGCTCGTGGATGGAGGATACATGAACGTGCTGCCCGCAGATGTCATGAAGCGGCAAATGAAGGCAAGAACAGTGATTGCAGTGGATGTCTCTGCAGAGGTCGTCCTGGACAACTATGAGTACGGAACACACCTGAATGGTTGGTGGCTTCTCTACAACAGGTATGCCAGGCATCTTTGGAACTTTTGTTTGGCTTGTTCTATGGCTCATCATGGTCTTGTGCCTTCGTCATTGTCATTGCCGCCAGTTGGAATCCGTTCACCCAGACGGTCAAAATCCCGTCGATGGGCGACATTTCAGAGAGGCTGGCTTGGGTGAACTGTGATAATCAGAAGAAGAAGGTTAAGGAGTACATTGACTTGTTCCTGGAGCCTCCCGTCAGCAACTATGGTGTGTTGGAGTACGACAAGTTTGATGAGATCATCTCGATCGGCTACGAACACGCAAAGCCCAAGGTGGACCACTTCGTGAAGAAGTATCCACATTTGGTCTCCTGAGAATGGGTATCCCTGGCTACTAGTTAAGACATGCTATGCAAGCTATAAGCGTTAGGTATTATAGCTAAGCATGTCTGACACGCTGGAAAGTGTATAATTGTACCGTAGCAAACCAGTTAGGGACTGTGATGCTGCACAAACCGCTCATCCACATTCAAATCCACGCTTTGATGGTGGTGATTCCCAAATAGCAAAAAGAAAGCCAGTTGAAAGACCACAAGGAAGTCCTTCACTTGAGCAGCCAAAACATCTTTGGTGACAATGTGGAACACCTGAGGAATGGACAGACAAAAAAAGACTCCCGTAACCATGAAGCGACCAAGTGAGTCCGTTCCTTGGGTTGCAACGGCCCAGGAAAGCAAGGCCAATAACAGTTCTCGCACAGCCCACATCATGAGGAAGAAGTCGGAAGCGATAGTAGGGTCCTTCCCTTCCAGGTTGATATAAGTTTTGACAAAGAGGTCGGGTGCTAGGAGCATTTGGGCGGCAAAAGTTGTCAGTCCCACGGCGACGACCTTGAGTGCAGTTTGAGGAGAAAAGATTGTATCCAAGAAACTGGGTGGGGTTTGCTGTGGGTTGGCGCCAACAGAGCGAGGGACCGACAAACTTGGCAGTGCTGGTTGCGTCTTCTTCCATGTTGCAACACTACGGCGAGAGAACTGTCCTATCGCCTGCACATCTTGCAGGGTGAATGCAGCCAGGAAGCAGCAGACGATGACGAGGGATTGATGGAGGCGGCCCATGGCTGAAACAAGATCCTACCGTGTTTGTTATGAGGACTGGGAGAAGAAGTGAAAACCAGAAGCTCACCAATCCTGCGACCGCGCAAAGCTTCTCGTCATGAATTTGCTTTATTTGAGCTTATTGCTCACTTTTTGCTGCATTTGGTAGAGCCAACAAACCCGAAAGTATCCTTTGACTTCTACTAGCAGTAGTACCGTACCAGTAGCTAGCTAGCCATGCATCAGTGAAACGTTTGTACATTTCGGAATTTGCCCGAGCCAGGATGGAGCGAGTGCCTTGACATTTGTCCAGCCTCCAGCAAACGATTGTTTCAGAGCATCCGGGCTTCTTCTACAAGTACTATACTGTAGCGAGTTATTTGCTAGCTATCCGTTTTGTCTTGACGCTTGTGCGATCCCCCCAACTGCGCGTACAATTCCCTGGATTTGACAATGATAAGCCTTGGTTTCCACTCTTGAATGACAATTCGAATGCAATGTTGAACAGCTTCCAATTCTCGATTGCCATTGATATCAATGGCGACGACGAGCTCTTTTCTCGATTGTGGAAACAAATCCATGGGCAGTGGTGGATTGTGATTGTCAGTACTAGTAGTATCTTGTTCTTGTGATGTTTGTAACAATGGCACATTCCAAGTGACAAACTTGCAGTTTGGATATCGTTGTTGCGCTTGTGCAATATCCTCGGGTGCCTTGTCCATGCCACTGACGTATTGGGGACACGTTGAATGTTCCCATATCCGATGCACTAATATCCCCACATCGCACCCAATTTCCGTAAAGGCATCATTGGGTCGTGTATGCACTACGGCAAAGCGTCGATAAAGGTTGGTTTCGGCCAATACCACAATCAAACTGGAATGCATCAAGACGGGGAGTAGATTTTCACGTTTGACTCGGTAGGTCGATCCCTTGGGGTATCGTACCAAGATGCGTCCATCTTGTTGTTGTTCGGAAGAAGAAGAGCCCACGATCCATGCTCTGGACAAGAGCTGTTTTCGTTGTTCTCCTTCACTGTCTTGACTTGCTTTGTTTCGTTTTCGTCCCTTGCTGAGAAGGACCCAACAGAGGGTATCGGGTGCCAATGATGATGATGATGCTGCTGTAGACAAAAACTTGGATTCCACCTCTTCGTGGCGATATATAGAGTAATCACCAAAGCATGGCTCTTGAGGAAGAGACGACGATGGATCCTCTTGAAGAGCTTCTCCTGTTGTGGAGTTGCTGCTGCAAACGTTGACTTCCGTCATGGTGTCTTTGTCTTTTGTCTGAGTCGTTTGTTGCTTTCGGTTTGTTTCCCAGTGTCATTAGTTTAGCCCCAGCTCTACTGAAGAATCTTTTTCTTCGGTATCTTTTTTGGGAAGGTTCTCATTGATGACCACGAGAAAGCATCCACGCATCAAACAAATAAATCAAGAGGCTTTCACCACGCACAAAAAGATTGACGGCCACAAAAGAAGAAACATCAGTTACCAGTAGTTGTTTCCATCCTCTAACAAGACAACTAGAACAACAACAACAATACAACCAATATGAGTGTCTCGAATACATCCGAAGTGCCCACCCTGTCGGGTCGCAATATCGATCTGGACATGATCAAACGCCAGTCGTATGCCAAGTACCGACGCACCAAGATCTTTTGCACCATTGGACCAGCGTGTTGGGAAGTGCCGCAGTTGGAATCCATGATTGATGCGGGTATGGATATCGCTCGATTCAACTTTTCTCATGGAGATCACAAAGGACACTTTGGCGTGCTGGAGCGGGTTCGACATGCGGCCGAACTCAAGGAACGGAATATTGGTAAGTTATCTATAGATAGGTACATGACATGACATGATATCTTTGTCTCATCCTCTAACCTTATCTATCTTGCTTTTGCGTTTGTTTTCTATGGTAGCCATTCTACTGGACACGAAGGGCCCCGAGATTCGCTCTGGTTTCTTTGCCAACGACGCCAAGAAGATTGATCTGGTCAAAGGCGAGACCATTGTTCTTACGTCGGATTACTCCTTCAAGGGAGACAAGACCAAACTCGGATGTTCCTATGACAAACTCGCCGAGTCGGTCACGGTCGGACAGTCCATTTTGGTGGCCGATGGCAGTCTCGTTCTTACCGTCCAATCCATTGACACGGCCGCCAAAGAAGTCGCCTGTCGCATTGAAAACAATGCGTCTATTGGAGAACGCAAAAACATGAATTTGCCCGGTGTCGTCGTCGATTTGCCCACATTTACCGAAAAGGATGTCGATGATATTGTCAATTTTGGTATCAAACACAATGTCGATTACATTGCCGCCAGTTTTGTTCGCAAGGGAAGTGATGTCCTGAATTTGAGAAAACTACTCAAGGACAATGGTGGCGAGCACATTCAAATCATTTGCAAAATTGAAAATCAAGAAGGATTGCAGAATTACGATGATATTCTCGAGCATACCGATGGAATCATGGTGGCCCGTGGTGATTTGGGAATGGAAATTCCACTCAATAAAGTATTTCTGGCACAGAAATACATGATTCGAAAGGCAAACTTGGCGGGTAAGCCGGTCGTGACTGCTACGCAAATGCTCGAGTCGATGGTATGTAGGCAATTACAATCATGTTCTGTCTGTGTGCTTTCTGAGAACGTTCATGATATAGACATCTCACGCTTACCTTGTTGTCTGCTCATCAAAATATACCAACACACGCTCACATCCAACATCAATAGATCAACAATCCTCGTCCCACACGTGCCGAGTGTTCCGATGTGGCCAATGCGGTATACGATGGAACCGATGCCGTCATGTTGAGTGGCGAAACGGCCAATGGAGATTACTTTGAACAAGCCGTCAAGATTATGGCAAGAACCTGCTCCGAAGCCGAAAACTCGAGAAACTACAATGCCATGTACCAGTCCGTGCGAAACTCGGTAATAGACGAAGTGGGAGGACTCAGTCCGGGAGAATCCTTGGCATCCAGTGCCGTCAAAACGGCCATTGATACCCATGCCGCATTTATTGTCGTATTGAGCGAGTCCGGGACCACGGCGCGGTATGTGGCCAAGTACCAGCCGGGACGATTGGTCATTTGCTTGACTCTGTCACCCACGGTGGCACGTCAAACCAATGGATTTTTAAAGTGCGTTCGCTCCTTTGTCGTCGACTCGTTGGATGACAGTTGGGCCTTGTCCAAAAAGGTTGGTTCCGAAGCCGTCAAGGGTGGTTTGGCGGTCGAGGGTCAATTGATGGTCGTCTTGGCCGGCAAACAGTCTGGAAAGGGTGCCACCGATGCCTGTCGCGTCGAAGGCATTGTCCGTGATTACGATGAACAACCGCCGACGTTCAAGGTGGGCGAAGTGGCCCCGAAACGGGCTGTTGGACACTTGAATGCCGGCTTTCATCTTCCCAAGAATCGTCGATACACGGTGATGCAAGGACAAGCCGAAGTCAAAGACAGCAGGAAGAGTCTCATGCATTTGAGTCTGGATGAAGATATCGAGGATGAAGGAGTCGAGTAAAGCGCTTTCCAGGCAAAACTCGCTCCTTGCCATGCATGGGCCAGCCATTTTGGACCAATGAAGCCCAGAGGAATACTACCTTTGGTGGTAAACCAACGTTATAGATCCATCCTATCTATTTTGTGTAACCTCATCAGTTCTAGCTAGATGTGACAAGGCAACCGTTGCGCTTGCTAGCTACCGTAGCTAGGTTGGCACCGTGCAGCTCTGGCCGCCAGTCTGTGGTTACAGATTGATTTGTTTCCCTTTTAGTCTCCAATAGTAATGAGAGAGGACATTCCGTATTACTAGACACTTCTTTTCCAACTTGGCCTTGGCTCCTACCAACAAAATATGCTTTTCTAAAAAGACAACCTTGACAGATAATTGCTTTTCCAACTGTTCCAGGTCATTGCGTCCTCGTCCATCCGAATCCTCGGTGGGAATGTTCTCCCAGAGTTCCTGCGCTGCCAAGTCTCCCAAGTCCTCCACGATAATCTTCTTCAATGCCGATTGCACTAGTTTGGTCCAGTCCGTTTCCTTGCTACTAGTACTACTGGTGTCATTATTATTGGCTGCGGAATTCACTGCAATGGATATGGTGGTCTGGTCGTCTACCTGAAACTTGTAGTGGGGGTGTTTGCGCTGTTGTGTCGGGAACCAAAAGGCATCGAGCCATGCCGCTCGACCTAGTGCCGTTCGATGTTGGCTCGCAGCGTCTCTTTGGTCGGCATCTCCTCCTCCATCCTGTAGAAGACTGTATCTGAAAACAACAGCAGCGTCATTATTGGCGGCCATTGTTCCTGTAACTTGCCAGATGCCAGGGACCTGAGACTAGAGGTAGGTATCAGTAGCCAGTTGCCGGCAATTCAACCTGTAGTAACCAGTTGTCCGTCTTGTCCAGCAGCTTCTTCCTCGGAACCAAACGGACGCTTGGTCTTGCATCCACCTGGAACAAAAAGCCACTGGATCAGCGGACCGCGCTCCACGATTCCGGGGTTCAACGGGGAAGTGAGAAGCCTCTGCGAACACGTCTTTAAAGGTGTGATCGTATAGGTCCTCTTGCCTGGGTAGGTTGTATGGAACGTTCATTATTGGGAAAGGCCCAAGAGCGTATCTCGAAGGGCTGATTTTGGGGAGAATTGTGAGCACCTGAAGGAAGGTATCTGGTGGCGGAGCAATAGACTGAAAGACTTAGTACTCATGCCCGATTGGAAAGAAAAGCTTTAAAGAAAACCACCTGCCATGATGTCTCACTAGTTTTAAAGTTGTGAAGGAAGAAGATTCTTTTTTTTCAAGCAATTTGCGACCGCTCACATCACACCGAACACTTGCCAGGCCCTGAACCTTCTTCTTTTCCCTCCTGTGATTTCTTTCACTTTCAATCCCAGCACCAACACAAATAATCAACACTCAAGAAAGACCTCAAGGACTCAGTATCAGATAAAGGGAGGTAGCAGGCGACAGACAACGCAACTAACGCAACGATCAGATCAGATCATGGCCGAGGAGGAGGCCAAGGTACCCGCCAAAACGGAAGGGCCCATGATGGAAGAGTCCAAAGTGGAGCCTGAAGCAACTGTTGCTTCGGGGGGCGAAGAAACCGAACCAAAAAAGGCAGCCGAAGAGGCCACCGAGACGGAGGCAGTGGAAGGAACAACTGAAAAAGAAGAAGAACCCAAGGCAGTTGCCAAAGAAGGGGAAGAACCCAAGAAAGAGGAAGCCGCTACCCAAGTCCCACAGGCTTCCGCTGCTGCGTCTGGAGCGACCACTTCTTCCTCTGATGATGATGATGCATCCCCTCCCGCCTCGGAAAAGAGTGACACGGCTGGTGGCGGCAACAACCAGTTCTATGCCCTCTTCCAGTCCATTCAAAAGAACATTGAAGCCTTGAACGATTCTACCAAACAGATTGAAAAGGTCAATGATCGCCTCCTCTTTCATTCCTCCACCATTTCAAAGGAAGAAGAATCCTCACTCATCCAAAAGGTGTCGGACATTGTCCAGGCCACCAACATCAAGGCCCGAGATTCCAGTCGATTGATTGAACAGTTGCGTGTCGAAACGGCCAAGCCAACCAATATGGGTGGTGGTGTCATCAAAGAGGAGAGCGAAAAGAGCGAAGAAGAAAAGGCCGAGGAATCGAAAGATGTGGGGTGAGTTACAATATCATTCAACTTGGAAAATGACCAAATACGATGTTGTTGGGTTGTCTGTTGTGTTGTTGCTGTCTTGTGTTTGAAACTAATGAATGATCGACTCTCTCCTCAAACCAACCTTGACCTACGTGTTCCGATTTTGATGATCAAAATCACTACAACCACAACCAACAACAACAACACCAGTGACAAGGAAAACATTTGCAAGACGGTAACCCGTTCCTTTACCGATGAATTGCTCTTGTACCAAAGTGCCCTTCAGGACTTCAAGAACGAGCTCAAAGAGCGCTTGACCAAAAAGATTCAGTCCATTCGGAAGGGTGCTTCTGAAGACTTTGTCGATATGTCGTTGCGGTCCGAATCCAGTAGGTATGCTCTCTTTCGAGATATCATGGCCATGGATGAAAAGGATCTGAGCGAAGAGGCGGCCAAGTGAGTACTACAATAGCCAAAGACAGCGTGTGCTGAGCCGTGTCAATCTTGCAACTGGAGCTGGCTAGCTGCTATGATGTAACTTCTTTCCCATTGTCCTTGCCCGACCTAACCTCATATTATCTGTCTGTCTCCTTCATGCCCCTCCCTCAATATATCTACCGTACGCGCCAACCACGCACACACAATCTATCAATATCACTTTCTGCAGAGATTTGAAGGATGACATTGCTGAAAAGTATGTCGTGATTGCGGAGTTGTCCAATGCTTCGTCGGACATGAACAAGATCTTCTTGTCGTTGGCATCGATGGCTACCAAACCACCCTCGGAAACCAGTGATAGTGACGAAGAACCCGTTGCTCGTGGTGGTGCGACGCGCAAAAAAGGACGTTTCGGTCGTGGTAACAGCAAACGTGGTTCCCTCATTGATAGCTTGCTGGGAAGTCGCACGAGAACGGCTGCTGCGGAAGGGACATCTAGCAGTGCTGGCAATGCGAGCTCTGGTACAGAGCCAAGTGCAGAAAGCGCAGCAGCCGAAGAAGAGTTCAAAAAGAGGAATCGTCTCTTTGCCTTTATGCAAAAGCACCGCAAGGCCAGCACGGACGGAGCCAAGAAAATGCGCTTCACCGTCAGTGACAGCGACAGGCCACGGAAGCGTCGTGGTACTCGACTTAGTCGGTACGTTCAATATGTGTTTTTGTTTTGAGAAACGTAACAGAGGAGTCCAGAACGTTTTGAATGTGGATGTTTTTGTGAGACAACTAGCTAACCAAATCTGGTGCTGAAATCCTGCCGCTTGGTGCATCACTGCCTCCTCCTTTTAAAATTCATTCCTGGCTGTGAAACTGACTTCTATATACGCAATGCAATTCACCATGGACGTGACCACGCTTGGGTAACATCAACGAAAACAGTTGGATGACGTTGTTTCTCCTGGCAACAGTTGGATTGGCGGCCATTGTGGGACTCGTCATGTTGCATTAGACTGCAACAACGGAAAAACCAAAAGAGAAAGACTTACTTAGTAGTATTGCGAATGAAAAACAACAAGAACATGAAGTTTGCATGTAATGGAGACGAGAAAAGGTGATCTGTGGAGGTACGGTACCGGTGGATGTTCTGGTGCCACAAGATCTATCTCATAAGGATTTATAATGAATGATCGACAATGACATCACAAGGGACTCGACTCATGCTGCAATGAAAGCGCGCAGCATTTTCCAATTTTTTTCATTTCGTTTGCTCAATTTGCATTTGCACGGTCGTCCAACCATGCTCGAATACGATCCGCCTGTGGTCCCATCAGCCGGAGATTGACGGAAACGGCGAACACTAATAGTTGGAACTGTCCCAAACCGAGCAGGAAGGAGGAGAACGAGAGCGCAACCAATTCCTCTGGATCCATGGATTCCACGAACTGAGCATGCCGGGGGAACTCCTGGCGGACCAAGTCTTGTGGTGGTGCCAGAGACAATCCAAGTTTACACACATTGTCACTTGAAATGGGCTGCTGCTCGTTGATTGCATAGAACTCGATAGCCTTCTGAAATGAATGCACGTGCAAATTGTAGGGGGATGAGCAAACCTCCTCATAGCGCTAGATTGCATTGGTTAGGCAGTGCTAGCTAGTACAGCTGTACCTCCGTACCGGTAGTTACCGGTACATTGACATACATTGATCAACTGACTCAACTAACTTAAAAGTCAGTTGAAAACTTAAAATTTGTATTTTGACCAGCAAATACGTTTAATTGGATTGGATTGGTTTGAATTACATTGGATTAGACTGGATTGGATTCAATTTCATCCAGCAAAATACTGTTATCTGTATAGTAAATACCAATTCAATGCAATGCAATCCAATTCAATGTAATCCAATCCAATTCAATGCAATCCAAATGAAAATGACCAGAAAAAGTCAAAATTGGATTCCTTTTCGCCCAAACTGTACCTGCAGGGTAACGTAGACTACCATACAAGGACTTTCTTGGTAGCGTGAAATCTGACATAAACTATCAGTGTTACGGTATCGAATAGAGTACACTACAGCCCCCAGCGCCATTGAATCGTATCGCCTGGGCGTATGCTCAACCACTGCAGCAGGGCGCTGGACTGCACAAAGCAAGTCGGTGCCTCCACCGTGGTTCCATCCGGGAAGGAGATTGTAATTGCAGCGCCATTATTTTCGTCCTCGCTTACATCTGTCATAGTGGATTGTTCAACTTCAGCTTTGATCTGTTGCCGGAAGCTGCCTAAGAACTCGTCAAGAGTATCGCCAACTCCTTCCTTCCACTGACGGACCACTGCAGGATGAAAGGATTCAATGGCCTTGATGACCTCATATGCTTGCAATAAGACCTTCTTGGGTACCATTGCAATGTTGAGGTGAGCAGGCTTCAAAAGCCGCCCCAGCATCTTGCACGTACCCGGAGCTTGCAGCAGCTCTGTAACAAAACAGGCCTGAGCATGTTCAGTGAGCTTCTTGACTTTTTTCGGGCCTAGATAGTGCGACATGATCTCCACGGTGTGGACAATCCCAATCCAAGCAATCAGATGACCAACCAGCTCTTTGAATATGTCAACAACCGGCACAACGGAAGTGCCCCCGGCTTTGCTGAGTATCTGGATGATTTTTTGCGCCCGGTTCTCTGCATTAGTCTTCAGATAGTTACACAACAGCTCATACATCTCTGGTGACAAATTCTGCTGCTCTGCTTTCGAGCCTTGTTTCTTCAAATCCGATGACCCGCATGTCTTGTAGACGAATAGGAACAAATCAACGCCAAATTGGGGCTGCAAAGTAGGCCACTCTTCTCCGTCAGCTGAGTCCAGTCGGTAGAGTGGTGAGTTTCGGTCTTCCAGAGAACGCAGCACAGTAGTCACGAGAGGCAAATCCTTGGCGACTATCGCTCGACCACCCTTCAAAAACGTCTTCGTGATTTGGAACATGGCTGGAAGTATCAAGCTCTTGACGGTTCCATTCCATTCCTTGTTGACTGCTGTGAACGAGGCAAAGTCTGTGGTGCTGTCATTGAGAGCATAGCCAAGAACGTGTTTGAGGACCAACCCCTCCATCACGTCAGGTGCACCCTGTACCAATGATGTACAGCGGTTCTTCTTGTCACTATCATGAGCGCCATCGTGGCTCTTTTGCTCGTGAGATGCAAACATTGTTTGTCTTTTGGACAAAGGAAACAATGCTGTTTTTCGTTTTTGTGTTGACGATCGAGCCGTGGAGTGTGGAGCGTGGAGCGTGGAGCGTGGAGAGCTGCGTGGAGAGCTGCATGGAGTCGTTTCGAAGGCTCGAAAATCGAACGTTAAATCTTTGAAGATTTAACAATGAAGGTGCGGCACAGTCTGTCTGCCAGCTCCCAGTGCCAACACCACAAACGGTTCACAAAACAATGATGTCATTTCGAAGAGCTTTTGGAAGTCACATTTTTCTTGAAAGTTGGCTTCTCATCATCAAAGACAGTCTTTCAAAATCACAACCTTCGACTTGAGAGTGAGTCTTCCAACCATGGCAATCACAAGCACCAAACGCTGCAGTGAAGAAGACGATCTGGAGAAGGAGGATGGACGAAAACGACTGAAAGCTGGTACCAAGATTTGCAATGAATATGATGGATATTCCTTGCAAGGCCAAGCCTCGCCCAAAATAGACACGGTCCAGATGTCTTCCATGTCGGCCACTACCTTTTTCGATCAATACATTCGTCAGCGAAAACCCTGCATCTTGGATGGCTTGCCGCCAACTACTACTACTAGTAGTAGTAGTAGTAGCAATGATAAGGAGATTGCCATTACACGAGAGTTGTTGGAATCCGTGGCAGGCTCGCGCCCAATTCAAGTGGAGAAGCGTGTTGGCCCAAATGACAACTTTGGCCAGAATCGAACCGCCACACGACAAGTGGCGATGCCGATCCGTGACTTTTTAAAGGCACTCCTGGATAGCGACAATGAACTCTTGTATTGGTCCACACAAGAAGACACGGATGATCCCTATAATGTCCCCTGCCGGCAATTGTTGGAGCAACACAAAATTCCACCCCAAATCAATTTGGCGGGAAATCTTGTGTTGAGTTCGTGCAATCTATGGATGGGACGATCCGGGCAGGGTGCCTCGTCGGGATTGCATCATGACTATCACGACAATTTCTATTGTCTCTTGCACGGGCGCAAGCGATTTCGACTCTTGTCGCCCGATGGTGCCCCCCATTTGCACGTCTACGGACAAATTGAATGCATTCATCCCAATGGACGCATCTCCTATGCGGGAAACGAAACTCGAGCCGATGGAGTTCCACTCAGTTCTTTGGAAGAAAAGGACGATGATGATGACGACGACGAAGAGGAAGAAGTTGTCTTGGGACAGGGTTTTGACTACATCTCGGACGATGAGGAAGATCAAGAAGCTTTTGAGAAATCCAACCAAAAGGATGATTTTGAGGAAATGTTTGCGCAAGATGATGAAAAGAACGTCGATGACGACGACGACAACGACAATGACACCAGTCTCAAGAATTCTTCTTCCAAAAACGACAATTCACAGCCAGAGGATGACAGTCACCCGGATAGTTTTTCCCGCATCAATCCATGCCAGGCCGATCAGGATGCCTTGCACAAGGAGTTCCCATCGTATGGCTCTCGTCGACAAGTGCTGATAGAGTTACAGGCGGGGCAAATGCTCTACTTGCCCGCAGGATGGTTTCACGAGGTCACTTCGTACAGTAGTAATAAGAACAATGCTGCATTGGGAGAATGCCACATGGCATTGAACTACTGGTATCATCCTCCGGATGATCTGGAGAACTTTGACAATCCATACAAGGACGACTTTTGGAAAAAGGAAGAGCAGCATCGACTCAAACTGTCGGCAAAGAAGATGTAGTAGAGTACTGTTATGTTATAGAATAGATTCAATTCAAGTACCACTTTCTGCAACATCTTTAGTTAGGTAGCTTTTCATCCTCGTTCCCGTGCTTGTGGCTACTAGTCGAGAGGACTGGTGGGCTCGTTGTGGCTTCTGCCGGTATCGGTACGTCTTGTGCTTACCGTACGGACGGTCTTGTGCTCTGAAGGTGTCGCTTCAGCCGGACTCCTGAGCTTTGGACGCTTACATGTATTCGACTGCGTGTGGACCCTTAGTATTTGACTGTGGTGCAATCGTTGCGCTCGGCAGTTCTCAAGAGGGACAAAGGCAAACCAGGACATTGGCGCTGCTATCATTTTGGTGGGGGGCTCGACTTCCGTCTCTTGGTCCTCGGCCATGGCGGGGACGCGGTACCAGGTAGTAGCTGACTGGATACCGGTATCGGTTGTACGGTATGGAAGCAGCGCCCACTGGGCAGAGCTAGCCGCGGGCACCAGCCGTGCACCAAGAAACACCAAACGAGAAAATCAGACCTGGATAGACTTGTCTGTGCACTGTTTGCCCTTGGCTTTCTCAGCTGAAGACGGAGATGGCCGGCGCCTGGGGTTGTAGGCCAATACATTGCAGCCATGGTGGGTTCGAATAGTTCCTTGCTCCGACAAAAAGAGAAATCCAAAGAGGACGGTCTCCCTTGGCTTATCTTCCTTGCTTGTAATGGCTATCATAGCTAGTACGTAGGAAATTGCATACTACTTAAATACTGGCACACCTATTACTGAAAAGGAAAGGTAACCAAGGACTTCGCGTCGGGTTAGGCCAATGGGGCAAGCTCACTAAGTGCCACCAGCCACCGGTACTGGTATGACTTTCCTTTCCACAACTAGGGAAATCCATTGACAAGGGGGTCCACCGAGACATGCATGAGTGGCTTTGACAAGGGCAATTTTTAAAGGGGGGATCGAGCACACCCTCAAAGCATATCAGTGTCAATCATCACGAGACCCCGGGCAGCCATTGTCACGAAGCCACTGGATCACTTCCCTATGGTTACCCATGCAGGCAAGGCGATATGTATTTGCATTCCACTGACAGCCTTTTTCACGAGCCCACATCAAAATTTCCAAGTGTCCACCTTCAGCAGCACATTCACATGTCTCTTGATTCCATGGACAACCATTTTCATGAGCCCACTTTAGAATTTCCAGATGGCCATTTAGAGCAGAAACTGAGCATGTGTATTCATTCCATGGACAACCATTTGCACGAGCCCACTTTAAGATTTCCAAATGTCCAAATTTAGCAGCTTCGTGGCATGTCCATGAATCCCATGGACAACCGTTCTCTCTTAACCAAATCAGAATTTCCAAATGTCCAACTTCAGCAGCTGCACTGCATGCCAAAGCATCCCATGGGAATCCTTGTTGGCGTGCCCATTTCATGACAGTCAGGTTTCCACTTTTGGCAATGACAATGCAAACATTACTACGATGAGGTGTTTTGTTGCTGGAATTGTCCTCGAGCCAGTATTCTGCACATGGCTGGTTACAGAATGTTTTGCAGTAGAGAGTGTCTGTGGGGGTAGGTGAGCGTCGGGGAGGACGCCATCCAGGGTTCTCTACAATGGTTGTTGGAATTTTCTTGAGCTCAATTTTGCAGTAGTCTTTGTACAGTTGATTCATCTTCTTGTTGACAGCTCCTACAAAAGCTTACTGTCCAACACCAACAAGAGGAAGAATGCCTTGGATCCAAATCTCATTCTTGTGCAACAGAAGAACATCGACGGGGGGAGACATCTTCTGTTTCTTATTGTTGCTTGCACTGCTATTGGCAGCAGCAGCAGCACCACCACCATCACCACCAGTATTATCGCCAGTACTAATACTATCAGAAGACATGATCAACAATCGGGTTGACTCTTGCCTACCGATAGCTAGTGTAATGGGGAAAGTTACTATGGGTTATTAGAGAGAGCTAAGATGAGGATGGGGACGGAGAGTACTGTAGTCTTGCTTTACAATACGAAGCTATCCAGGAAGACACGTCTGGGCTTGAGGTAGTTGCGGTAAAAGATAATTTTGATTCAAATATGCAGAGTAAAGTATATCTTTAACCCTATATTTACCGCACTTACTCGTCCAAAACTGTCTCCCAATCTTCTGGCTGGTTCGTTTGCTGTCGGCTGTCGAGGATCAAGTGTGCAGCCAGTGCTGTGTTGGATCTTACCGTGCTCTAGCTAGCTAGCTAGCTAGTAGCTCCTTTGCGGAGGACTAAGCTACCGGTAGCCAGCATCGGACCAACGACCAACCATCAATGGTTCACCTCTCACCTCCTCACCACGTTTCTTCATCTCCATGATGTATTGTGCTGCTGCGTCATCTTTTCCTGATCTACTACACGTAGCTAGCTACCGGTAGTATTCACCAACGGAGGGAAGATCCGGCGGTTGTATGAAGTAAGTTGCCTAATCCACGGTGTCTATCTATCTAGCTAGCTAGCTAGTAGAAGATGGGCACACCTGGAAAAGCCTCGCGGAAGTAAATTGCTACCTGGCAGGGTGTTTTTGAACTACTTGCTAGCTAGGTAATTCTTTTGTTTACTCTTCCTGAGCTTCCTCAAAGTCTTGCCATATGTCGTCATCATCCGCGGACGATGCTTCCCCTAACGCAGCAGTAGTCGATTCCTCGCCTGTTTTGCTATCCGCATTCAAGTCAATGTCACCAAAGGATATGGACACATCGGGATTCAGTTTGGGTGCCGGTGGTGGTTTCTTGAGCAAGAAGGGTCCTCCTGCCTTTTTGGGAGATTCTTGCGAAGAAGAATCCTTTTTGGATATTGTTGATTTTTTGCCAGAGCCCAAGTTGATGTGAATCTTTTGTCCCTCTTGCAGACTCAGGTTTTGATTATTGTCGTATTCTTTTGCAAAGTGCTGTTTTGCTTGTTCGGCCTCTTCTCGTCGTTTTATGGATTTGACAAAGAACTGCAATGATTCTCTAAAATCGGTAGCTTCGTCTCGATCTCGAAATCCAAATCCAATGCGAGCTTCTCGACCGGATCGTTCATCCAGAATGCGGACGACGAAATAGCGACTCGAATCCACGACATTTTCGACAAAGTACTCGAGTGACAGCTTTTGTGGTTGATTAGTGGAAGAAGAAGAAAGATCGATTGTGGATTGGGCAAAAATTTGAATGGAATTCGGGTCATCTGGGTCTTGCAAATGACGAAACAAGAGCAACAGTTTGTCGCCATGTTGTTCCACCAGCAAAGAGCACGTCTTGAGAGGAGTTGCCAAATTCCAATCTTCCGCTCTGAATGGAAAGAAGAAGAAGAAAAAAAGAGAGGAATCGATGAGCTGGCTGTTGTGCAAACACGGGAACGAAAGTGAAAGAAGAAGTCAACGGTAGTGTACCCACCTGTGACCTCCAGCCGTCTTGAGTGGAGGAATCTTGTACAGATAAACCTCTTCTGCACTCAGCAGTTTCTGGCCCACCAAGTCGGTAGCCGAAGGTGGTTCTGTCATCCTTTACTGTAGCTACTCTAGAATGTATGCATGTAGCGGTAATAGTCTGGGTAGTCCGCTCGCCCGTCGACGGCAACGATGGCCAGGAGGCGGAAATTCAGAGACAATATTGTGCCTGGCTTCTACTGCATCTCAGGCTTCACAGCCTTGCTGGCTCATATCTTTTCTGGATCTTTGGGCTTCCAAGAAAACCAGAAGCAAGGTGGTTCGGTACCGGTACACATCAACCCTTCAATGCATAATCCATCCATGAGGTCCAATCCTTCATAGTCTTCTCCCAAGCCACAACAATGAATGCAAGATCTCTGGCATTTCGATTGCTCTGAAGTCAGCCACTGGTAGTGAGATGATATTGAAAACCCCGACAAGCCGTTGCTTCCTTTCAGGCTGCGCCAACTGGCCGCTCTTCTTGGTTCTCCTCTGTTGTAGGCCGACTATTGTGAATGCTAACGACGACGGGTGGTTCGAAACGGTATCTTTTGCGGTCCCTGAGGGCGCTCCCTGGACCAGCTTGACAAGAACACGCGAACGATACACAACCGAAGCGAATGACGGCCATGAAGCCAACTTTTGGTTGATCCAAGGCAGTCAGGCGGCCGTGCTCATTGACACGGGATTTGGGTTGGAGAATTTGGCCCAGCACTTGATGGACGGTGGATACTGGAACGCTTCTACCACCCCGTTGGTGGTGGTGGCATCCCATGAACACTTTGATCATGCGGCTGGCATGTCCGTGTTTCCCGCTGCTACTAGCAGTGACGTTGTCCTGGCTGCCGGATCAGGAGATGCCAATGCCATTACCGAGAGCATCACGGCGAGAACTGCCGATATTCTTGTCCAGGAAATGGCCTTTTACCCGGACGAGTACTTTTCAGAAGCGCCTCCATCTGTCACTGACTTTGCGGCCCGGCTGTCCGACTTTCAAACGCAAGCAAACATTGACAGGGAGCTTGTAGAGGGTGATACTATCGAGTTGGGAGACGGGGCTGTGTTAACCATCATGGCGCTCCCAGGACATACACCTGGATCCATTGCTCTGTACGACGGACCCAGTCAAACAATCTTCACGGGAGATACCCTTTACGCAGGCTATTTGATTGATAATGCTGTCGATTCCAACGTTGACGACTACGCAACCTCCATGGACCGGCTCGCTGCTTTGTCGGTCAAACAAGCCTATCCTGGCCACGGTGAGGCATTATCAGGGGAACAGTATCTTGCTGTCATTGATTGCTATAATGGCGGGGAAGAGGACTGCTCTTACGTTGTCGAAGAAATACCTGGAACTGTCAAACCACTGTCCAGAAGCAGCAGCAGCAGCAGTACTTCAGAGTCCGTCCCTCCAGATGGAAACATCACAACGACAGCCCCAACTACCACCACTGATGGTGGAGACTCGGACACGGTACCCAGTGGAAGCAGCGCTTCATCCAGGTAAGTTAGTTAGTTGACCTAGTTTTATGCGGACATCGTCATGAAGAGACAGTACACTGCACCCTTTTTCATCTTGCATGCACTCCTTTCGCCTCACCAATTGGGCATGCTGTAGGTTTCCCTTGCCCGTGCTCCTGGTGGTGCCGATCTTGGCGTTCACGCATGTGTTTTGACTCAATGTCAACATTTAAAAATACATATTATATGTCCGGCCAAAGCGGGCCTTCTTTGTAGCCCCGACTGCTTCGAATACGTAACAATTAACAATGCAAACTGCTGCACGTATTTTATTTGCAATGGTACGTACTGTCAGTGCGTGCTGGGAGAGTCACATTAGCAACAACTAGCCAGCTTGTGGCAACTGGCAAAGCTACGGTGAAGGTATGTCGACGGAAGCGTCCGCGAGACTCGCTTAATTGCATGATGTGGGAACTTCAAAGCTGATGATTGCTGTAGTGCTGCACTGGCTGGTTGCCCGTGCATTCGTCTTGACTGTTGTCTCCTACCCGTAGCTACGTCGCCGCGTCTCTTTGAAATGGTGATCGCGACTCTGCGGTCTTTCGGTGGATGACAACAGGACAAGAGAGACAAACCATACAGCGATTCAAGTAGGTTTCATTGCTAGAAATGTCCCCGTTGTTCCAAACCAACCAGTTGTCCCAGTTCCAGTGCACAATGCCAAGCCTGGGGAAAGACAGGAGCCTGGCATTTCACCAGTTATAATTTTGGTGAAATCTGAAGATACTTGTAGCAGTGTAAATTATGTAGAAGCCAGCAGAGATATAATGTCAAGCTCTAACCCTTTCTGAGCGGGCCTGTGTGAGGTCATTCATTTTGCCCGAATTGTGACCTCGTCAGTTGACACCAATCCAAAAGATCCAATTCTTGCTTGACCTTTACCTGAACTGCACCCATCGTGCCACAAACCACAAGCCACAAACCCTGCTTCCAAAGGCAACTTAGCCAACTGACCCACCGTCCTTTTACTTTAGTTAGTTAGTTCGCGCTCAAATCAAGATGGCTCTCTCTGACTCTGACGATGACGAATCTGAAGAAGAGGAAGAAAGCGAGGACGAGGCCCCAGGAGCCCTTTCCTCCTATGCAGTAGCACAAGGGAACAAGAAGAAGAATCTAACGGATTTTGAGGCTTTTGATGAGGGTGACGAGAATACGACAGTGGAGAAGATGAAGACGATCATGGCTCTGCGTGAGACTCTGGGAATGGATCAAGATACGCAGTGGTTGATAGAGGAGAAGCGGAAAGAAGAAGAGAAGAAACGCCAGGAAAACATGACAATGGAAGAAAAGACTGCGGCATCGGGAGACATGATGGCCCGTATTCGAGCGAAGCACATGGCCAAGCAAAAAGAGTTGGAAGTCGAGCAGGAGAAAGCTAATGAAGAAAAGCGTGCCTTGAGAGCCAAGGCGGCCTTGGAAGCGGCCGCCAAAGACTCGGATGACGAGGACAGTGACGACTCGGATGCTCCAAAGAAGAAGAAAAAGAAGAAGAAACCCAAGAAGGTAGAGAGCTCGGATGAAGAGGAGGAGGAAGAAGAGGTTCCCAAGAAGAAGAAGAAGAAAAAGAAGAAGAAAGTTGACTCTGATGACGAGGAAGAAGAAGAGCCCCCAGAGGAGGAAGTCAAGAAGAAGAAAAAGAAGAAGAAGAAACAAGTTGACTCTGACGAGGAGGAGGAAGAAGAGCCACCAGAGGAGGAAGTCAAGAAGAAGAAAAAGAAGAAAAAGAAAAAAGTTGAGACTGATGACGAGGAGGAGGAGGATGAGCCACCGCCAGAGGAAAAGAAGAAGAAGAAAAAGAAGAAGAAAAAACAAGTGGACTCGGACGATGACGACTAGTAGGAAATTGTGGGTCGGTTGGTTTATGCATTTTGCAGTTGTCAAAAAGTACTAGTGGATATGGTTGTTCTTTGGTGTTGCTTGTTCTCGCTACTCCTTCAAGGAATTGAATCGCTCGCTTTGGCAGGATCAGTCCTCGTGTGCGCAACTTTAGAAACAATTCGCACAGCTACCAGCCAAGATAGCTATGCTACAATGTATCTCTAGGGTCCCATCAGAAACTTGGTTGTGGTCTTCGTACCTGAGTTTTGCGGTGCTCAAAGAACGATCTGGCGAAAGAGGCACAGCAACGTACGGTACTCCACCCAGCCAGAATCTAGGCCCTGCGCTGATTCAAATTTCTTACGCAACGACGTGAAGTTGCGAGTTTGCAGATTGATTCGATTGATTTTGTCCTGCCATTCAGCAACCGTACCGGTACTGCATCTCGCGGACTTCCTGATGCTCCAATATGTTCAACAACAACCATGGGATCGAGACATGCCAATGGTGCAAAAGCCAGCTACCAACCAATCAATCCCTGAGAGTTCCTGCTGGCTATCCAAGCGTCTCTGCTGGATTGTGTAGATGGTTCACTTTCCTTGAAGCCATGGGGCCCCGCGGTGGCCACACGTCGCACAAGAATGTGATCACCGACAGGATGTCATCCGTTCTCAGTGTGCGGGCCTGAGAACTGCTGGTACCGGTACAACGACCGAACGTGTTTTCTCGGTTTGCAGGATTTCTGTCAGTGTGCCGTTCTCTAGCTAGAGTCAAGCACCACCACCTGATGATCAGAGCCCTCAGCGTTGCATTGAGACCAAGTTCGAACGCGGCCACTTACTTTTACATGTACTTCTAAGCCATCCATCTCAGGTTCAGACGGTACCGGTACCAGGTACAGCGACCTTGGTTGACCAGGTCATATTACGTGTATCTGTGGTACCGTTACCTTTGCCTGTGCCTGTGCCTTGGAGTCACCGGACTCCACTCGGCGTTCGCAGCTTTGGAGGCTTATTATACTTACTGGACATGCAGTGTCGCGCGGAAGTTCTTTACGATCTCCAGGGTTACTGGGCATTTTGGCCCATAAGTGTTTTGGCGATAAAGTGCTCTTGGGACTTAAGTAGACATTAGTAGACAAAGTAGACGTTGTAAGATATTTTAAGACATTGGTAGACATTTGGTAGACTTTCGTAGACTTTTACTAGACTTTAGTAGACTTTGGTGGACTTTAGTAGACATTGTTAGACATTTTGGTACTGTTTTACTATGCAAGGTAGACATTTAGTAGACATTAGTAGACATTTGGTAAACAATAAAAGATATTGGTAGACATTAGTAGACACTGGTAGACATTAGTAGACATTGTGAGACATAAGCCACTTTTACTTAGGAGCAACATTTCTAAGCAACCGGCGACCCAGACATGGCGCTGCGGAGCTGCTATCATCATGATGGGGGGACTCTTAGCTAGTAGTAAACCAAATACGGATCATTATTGCTACAGTGGCTGATGCTTGAGGCGAAGACCCGTTGAAAAAGCAGACAATTGCCACATGTCCGACAACAGCTTAGCATACGCCAAGGTAGTGTTGGAGCTCACGAGCAATGACCCTCTACAAGTCCTGACGTTGGAAGATGCCCAAGAGAAAGGTAGTGTCGAGCTTATTGAACTATCAAACCAATCAAGTCAGCTCAACACCCCGGCAACAGAGAATTATGATACACTGGCATCAATTGGTAAGCTTAATATCCCAACAACCACCACTACCGGTACTGGTACCGGTACCCAGGAAGCTCAAGAGGCCAGTTCAACAGAAGGCACCCAAAATCTCCTTCTAGCAGTGGGCCTACGACTAATACCAGAAACAATCCAAGAAGAAAAACCACATTTGCATTTGCCAGAAGACAGACAGGTCACATTTCCAGGTGCCTTCGCCGTTGAAGGACGTTCTGCCGGTCAAGATGACAACATCCTGGAGCATTCTGCGCAAGCGACCATCAACGCCATTGTTTCACATGTTATGAGAGAAAACGATGAAGATGCCAACCTGCTCGACCACACAGGGCAAGCACAATCTAACAAGAGATCACAGCAATGGTGCAGGCAAAGGTTGTGTCTTGCTTTGTCATTGGAAGTCAACGTGGTTCTTGTTGCAGTGATTTCAGTACTCCTAATATTTGTGTTAGTTTCTAGTGGAGGGCACAACAACAACAATAACAACAACGACCCATTGATACGCCAAGAAAATGACGTGATTCAAATTCCTGGAACTCTCCAAGGAACAACGCCAACACGGGCACCAACAACCGTTCTGGAATCACTCAATTTACCTGAATACACCATCATGGCGATGCAAAACCATAGGTCTCCTCAGTTTGAAGCCTATGAATGGCTAGCTTATAACATCAACAATGCAAGTTCTACCCTTCATATACCAAAGTGGAGACTGATACAGAGATTTGCTCTGGCCACAATCTACTACTCTACAAGGGGAGACCATTGGGTGAAGCATCAAGGATGGTTGGACTGGGCCTCTGATGAATGCAATTGGGCACAACCACAAATAGGTTTGAAGAAAAGACTCTCTCCAGAACAGTCCTGCAATGAGATGGGCAAAATCAAAGCGTTTACATTTACGACTCCAAATAACATGGATGGAACAATTCCGCCTGAAATCTCATTGCTAGGGGGGAGCCTTGAGTCTTTCACATTGATTCGACAATTCAGACTCAGAGGGACTATCCCTTCTGAGCTTGGACTGCTGACAAAATTGACCAAGTTGATCTTGATATCAACAAGTATCATTGGAACCATCCCAACAGAGTTTGGGAGGCTGAAAAGCCTTCAGAATCTTCAACTTGAAAGCTTACCAATTCGTGGGCATATCCCATCAGAGATTGGCAATTTGCGCAACCTATCAACATTGATGTTAGTGAAAGTAGATGTAGCCGGTACGTCTCGGTGGTTTTTGAGTGCCTCACTCAACTGACACTGTTAATTGACATGTTTTACAATCCACCCAATCTAGGTTCAGTTCCTTCTGAAATTTTGCAATTGCCTGGCCTGGAGGCTTTGCGCATTGATGAATGCCCCGGATTGAACTCAGAATACGTCCTTCAAGATACCATTGGAAACTTGCAACAGATGAAGTTGCTCTTTCTGTCAAGCCAGAATTCGGGGATGGAGATATCAATTCCACGTAAGAAATGAGACAAGGCTATGATGGTGGATTAGTGACATCTCACCCTATCTGTGCATTCTCTGTCAAAAGCTGAAATAGGCACACTGACACAACTACGTTACCTACATTTAATCAACTGGAATATTCATGGGACCATACCGGGGGAGGTTGGAAAGTTGGAAAATTTGGTAAGCAAGAGTTCTGTGCACACAAAAAATATGTTTCAAAGAGCGTGTTTTGCTGCGCTGAATTTGCATTCTAACCAAATTGACAGGCCATGCTGGAATTGGATGGCAACTCAATCTCCGGAACTCTGCCACAGCGATTGTTAAAGTTGACAAGTAAGTAGAGTATATGTTCTGTGCCACCACATGCCGTTCTTCACTGACACCATCTGTTTCCAACATTGTTGTCTTCGTCTTCCTCTCAGATCTGATATATTTACATCTTGGTTCCAACAAGTTGAAGGGAAAATTGCCACCTAGCCTTTTTTCCCAGCTTACAAACCTTAGGTTTCTATCCTTCAGTGACAACATCTTCTCGGGTTCCATTCCAACAGAAGTTGGTCTGCTGTCCAGCTTGGAGACTCTGGAATTACACAATACCAACTTATTGGGCACATTGCCGGCAGAGGTACTTGCTCTGGGGAACTTGACAAGCTTGGTACTCAAAAACACATCTCTGTCTGGAAGTATCCCTGCAGTGTTGTGTGACAAAATGTACCAAAAGACCTGGAATTGCCTTGGAGGCCCTGGCTGCAAACAGTTACCAGTGAAAACCAGCACAACTGCGTGTCATGGAACTTCCCTATGCGGATGCGATTGTGGTCCTTGCCCATAGGTAACCAGGAGAGATGAAAGGGTGTCTTGTTGCTTTCCTATTTAGCTAGCTATTTGAGTACCGTGAACCTTCGTCAGAGACGAAACAAGTTTGCTACCGGTATGTTAGAATTGGTATCCACCACTGTTTTCGCTGATGCAGAGAATCGAACAACGTGGACGCGGTAGCTAGCTACTTAGTTACTGAATGATCCTGCTCAAGACGTCTCTGTCCAATGCCAACACCTGGGCAAATACCACCTAGCTAGTGGTCCTCACTTAGTTGTCACGATGGTGGATTGTTGTTTCCAGTTGTGGCTTCTGCCAATGCTTTCTGTGCTTGTACCATTTGTTGTTGAATGGTATCGGTCAAGATGAGGATAAAGTCGTGTGCCAGCTGATGCTTTAAACAAAACTGTGTCGCCACTTCTAGGGGCACATCGCCCGCGTAAAACACTATGGTGGGTTCCTCGGCATCGTTGTCGTCCAACTGAACGTTCATTTTGAAGAGTACCCAGCGCTCGCCAGATCCTGCCGTGTGCGCTTCCGTTGTATCGTTGCTTTCCGTGTTGTTGTCGTTGTTGTCGGCAATGTTGCTGTTGCCGTAGTTTTCAAACCCCACTCCCATGGGCATGGCGATTCCCGTCAATAACCGGGACACCCACGGTTTTCCTTGTCGTTGTTGTTGTTTGCACCGAAAGATACTGCTCCCCGACCGCGTATTGCCGGCATCCACAAACCACGGTTTGGCATATGCCAAATAGAGAATGGGTCGATGCTGCGTCAACGCAAGTGCCCCTCGATGTTGGAGTCGATAATCAAAGAGAATGGCATCCCCCGCGTGTGCGTGCAATCCAAATATTGATAATGGATTACTGTTTTCAAAATTTCCTCCGAGTACGTGAGATCCCGGTTGGACTTGTGTGGGACCATCTTGGTCACTTTTGACGTGGATGAGTGGGAAAAAGACATTGATGCAATGGGGAGGCAAATGAATGTGTTCGTACAAGTGTCCACCGTCCGAGTGCCATTTTTGTGGTTGGTGATGATTGTCATTGTCATTATTCGTAGAAGTTTGTGGTGGTGGTTTGCGTGCCCACATGACACCGGCATAGAGTAGATTAATGGCCTTGGAGGAGGAGGAGGAACTAGTAGTCGAAGCAGTTCCATGGAGTAAGGCTTGAATGAGTGGAAAGACGATGGAATTGTAGATTAATCCTGGCGCAATGTAGGGATACCGATCCAATTCGTAGCGGACATCTCGACGATGTCCATCACGGTCCACCATTTCTCGATAATCGACACGGTAGGCGGCGGCAATGGCATGACTGTTGTTGGTGGTGTCGGTGTCTACATGTTGTAATTCTTGCCGTCGAGCGTTCAGTTCTTGTTCCAGCAACTCTAAATCGGCCGTGGCTTTGGTACGACAGTCCCGTACAAATGCCGGTGGCAAGACATTGGGAATCACACAACAGCCAGATGAATGAAACGTGTCAAGAGCGTGTTGGAAGGTACTGCTTGTGTCATCGTTATCGTCATCTTTGAGATTGCTCCCATTTTCTGTTCGCTGTCGCTTCTTTCCTCTGTCGTCGTCAGCGTCAGCGTCAGCAGAAGATCCCCAGCTGGGAGCTCCAGAAGCTCGTTCGCTTTCGGATGGACCTACTATGCACTCCTCCAAGCATTTAGCGGGTTTCTTGCTGGCAGTGCTAACAACAGCCGTCGCCATCGTGGGCCATGAAAAATAAATGTGGGGTTTGGATCTTTCAAGATTGGATCTTTCAAAATTGGATCTTTTTGTCTTTTTTGACACCTGTTCCGAATTTGACGAGTCAGAATTGAATTCTGTCGGTCATCGCAGTCATCCGACCCTCATTTTTCTTTTTCTTCTCTACCTCTGTCAACCTCCACTTCGTTGCGGAGAGATCAAAGAAATAATACCAACATGAGCCAACTCGAGGACACTGTCGCTACTATTAGTCCCGAAGATGCCGAGAGCACTGTCGGTACGACGGCTGCCATTGTCACGTCGGTGATTGGGCTCGTCTTGGTGGCCGTCTTTGTCGTATTGGCCACCTTCAAGTTTCGTCGCACCCAAGGCCGTCTCTGGAAGTTTCATGCCATGTTTACGGCCGTCGTGGCCGTACTCGTCTTGCTCACACCACTCTCAGTCAAACATGTCGTCTTTTCCAGTGCCGGAGTCGTCGTGGCCGGGACTATTTTCCCATTTTACATGAGTTTAAAGGCACTCTGTACGCCCTCCACGGCCGATGATATGGAATGGTTGACTTATTGGACGTGTTCGGGAGCTGTTTTTGTAAGTTCGTTTAGAGAAACAACACAAAACAGATGGATTCGAAATTCGAAGCTCGTATGCAACTAAAACAACTTGTTTCTTTGGCAGTTTATCACGGCTTATCTGAAGGATTACCAGCTTGCTTCCGAACAAGTGCAGCTCTATTGGTACCAGTTTGAGTTCTTCTTCTTCATTTGGCTATATCTACCATTCACGGTACGTATTAAAGGAATACAGTACTGGTACCACATTGCAGTATTGGTTTGTCTGCTGACCTTCTACCATTTTACTTTTACTACTACTCGTTGTCCACCAACTATGCAGGATGGAGCCACACTCATCTTTGACTACATTACTCGACCCGTATTGGCACCTGTCATTGAACCCGTCAGCAACAAAATGGGCACTTGGATTTCTGGACTTGTCATGACAATCATCAATGCGTCACATCTATGGGCATTATGGGCATTCTTCATCATATTACCAAAGGGATTGAAACGATTCGTTACCATTGCCATTGGCACCGCATTTCCCTTGCTCGCTTCCATTACCGCCGTCACCACCGATGACAAAACCGATGATACCTTTTGGCTCACATACTGGAGTTGCTATTCCCTCTTGTTTCTCATTATGGATTGGACCGAAACCTGGTTGGGATCCATTTGGGGCTTTTATACCGTCATGCTATTTACCACCGTCTACCTCATGTTGCCCATGTTTCAAGGATCCGACAAGGTCTTTCGTCATGTACTGGTGCCATTGGCGGGATTGAGGGAGAGTTTACTCATGCGGGATGCCGTACTCTTGAAAAAGGATTTGATGGCCAGTATACCAGAAGATCGACAAGCGGAACTACGGAGACTCATTGCCCATTCCTTTAATACCGATACACCCGATGAAGAGGATGACGCACAGGATGATCGAATGGAAATCAATCCAGAGAATGCCAAGTTGTTGTGGTCCACGAGCATGTGGAATCGAAAATCCAAGAGAAAGTTGAATGCATCCGAGCGGAGTGATGGTGCTCCTGCCAATGAAAGCACTTCTCTGGTATGAATTGAAGGATGTGTGGTTTTGTTTTCCACGTCGTGGTGCCACTGTGAACCCATCAATCATCAGTTAGCATCGCATCAAGGTGGCTGCAAATGATTCTACTTGCAAATTATGTTTGGATTGTTGTATTTGTTGTGTTGTAAGATATTATTCCTCTAGTTTTCCACTACTTTTTCTATGACCTCACCTCAACAATGAAGAGGGAGATTCTCTTACGGTGTATTAGCAAACGTAAATTGACACTACCTCAAGAATCATGGCCCAAAGAGGTAGCTCCAAGATGACTGCAACCACAGTGCACCATTATTGCGCAAAAATTGTAGCATAGGCTCTGTATCGGGCCCAAAAATGTTGAGCTCGTTGTTGATTGTTGTATCGATCCAATCCTGGTAGTTGCTTACTCTCGTGTAGTAATCGGGAAAGCTGGACGCGCAGCCCACCTTCCCAAAGGATACGATCCCCACTTGTACTTTATTTCCGTCCATCAGCGGGCTTCCAGAGTCTCCTTGACAAGGGCCACCTCCTCCCACATCCGCACAAACGATTGCGGGTGAGTTAAAGTTACCTCCCCGAGCTTGGCACTCGGCATTGGACACAGATTGCACTTCAAGTTGTTGTAGCACCCCCGAAGCGTCTCCTCCGTTCGATGTACGTCCAAACCCAATGACCCACAGCGGCTGCCCAGAATTCACAGGAAACGTTTGATCCGTGTTCAATTCAGCACTGGGAGGAAGGCAGACACAGTTGGTAGCAAGCTTTAGCAGGGCAATATCATCACCATTGCCTGGCCGCACATAGTTTGGATGGATCCATCGTTTGGTGACAGAGAGGACTGTCCCGCCCTGGCTGAAAAAGGGGGTGCCGACACGAACTCGGGGAGGCGCGCCATCGTCCACGCAGTGGGCTGCCGTCAAGACAAATTGCCCCCCACCAATCACCGTTCCACCACACAACGTCGTGCCACCATCAAACTTGGCGTACCACGGATAGTCTCCAGCATCTGCGACCTGTCCATTAACGATCCCGTGCGTGTTAGATGGAGGAAATTCTTCTTCCACAGACGGGTCAAACCCTTGTCGTAGATGTGATGAAGATGGTTCCTCAGACCAGGCTATTGCCAACCAAAACAACAGTAGGCAACTTTGAAACCTTGACTTCCACGCCATTGTCGAGTTTCAATGTTTCAATTTGCCAAAAATGAATTTGCGACATTGTCACAAGAAAACCTGCTCGAGATTGGAGTCGAGTCGGTGGCTTCTTGGCAGCCGAAATGTGAGCCAACGGTACATCGTCTAAGTAACTATAAGCTTATTTTCATTTATGTAATGTCGCCCACCGACCAAATCATAGCTGGAATGCGCCACAATTTATTGCTTCCTTAGATTTTGTCCGCTGGTGGGTTACTGTAGCGCTTAGCGGAATCAGGTCCGGTAGCTTGAATGCTTGAATAGATAAGATCATCCAATAGCTAGCTTTCCTCGAAATGCAAGAGATACTCTCGACCAATGGCAGTGTGTTCTCCATCATCAAATCTCACGCTGCAAGTTCCATCTGGATGAATGTTTGTAATGACACCAGGGTAAAACTCCTCAGAAGTGCCATGATAATCCACGTCGACTCGGTCTCCAATCTTGAATACATTGTAGCTTCGAATATCGTCGGCATGCACTTCTTCATAGGAACCGCTATTGTACACATATACTACGCAGATCCCATCCGAATCATCCAGGACATCCATAAGTTTACCTTCATACCACGTGTCGCCATAGACCCAGACTTTATCGCCTACGGCGATCATGTCATCATGGTGGCGAGAACGCTGCTCCACCACACGAAGTTTGAGATATTCGGTGGGACTACGTTGCGTTCGTCTCCTGAATTGCAACAGTTGACGGCCCTTTCGAATATGGAGATTTGCATGGTCAATCTGAAACTGCTGGTACTTGTTGTTCTTGGTTGCTTGGGTTGTCGTGTCTGATGAGGAGCGTTGTTTCCCATACAATGTGCTCAGCCACTCACGAGCCAAAAGTTCTTCTGACATGGTAGCCATGGCCGTACCACGGTGGTTACCAAAGCGGGCATCAGCAAGCATATATTTGAGCTCCTGTGTAAGATGCCCGATGAGTGGGTGTTTGGTTCTCACAATGGCTTGGACAGATTCCTCCACTGCTTCTTTTTGGGACATGATGAGCCAAGCTCCAGTTTGATGATCCTGCCGAAGAAACCTGGATGCAAGACCGACTTCGTAGATTTGGCCAATATCTCGAACAATTTTTTGGGCTGCCAGGTCCAATAAGCTGGCAGGCAACAAAGCAGCGTCAGCAACATATTTCTCCCAAACTCGGTTTCCTGGATGAAAACTCAGAAACCGGTTGAATGAAGCTAGGAACTTGGCGTCGAATCTTGTGGATATCAAGACATCGTTTCGTTCTGGAAAGGTAATAGACTTCGGATTGGATGGTTCCGTTGGCGGCTCTGGGAAGGGCTCAGCAAAGACAGCTTCGGATATGACTGACTGTGCCAGCTCCGTTTGATCAAAGTACCAAGATATTGCTCCGATCGTGCCAGCTGTCAGCATCACAATCAAGCCAAGTCGGGTCACTGAACGCCGTACCCCAACAGGAGTCGGACTGACTGCTGCGCACAATGCCAATCCCACTGCATAGAAGAATAGGGCACATCCATTCAATGCTGCAAGATACTCAACACCAATAGACAGCATTTCTGGAATGAACTTAGCCCATCGATCAGAGGTTGATCTCAGAAACATGGGCACATTGTTGGCATTCAGAATCTTTTCTACAAAGTCTTCCAGCTCGTAGTCAGCATAGAATTCTTCTCCGTTTGCAAATTGATGGGCAAATTGTTGAATCCAAGTCACCCCTCGGGTGGGGATGAACCCCAAAGCTCGTAGTCCAGCCAATGGTTGAACCATGGTTTTGGTAGCATCTTTCAGCATGGAGAAAGTGGCTCCCCACATGTTAAACCTTTGATAGTAGTAAGCTAGGAAAGACCGGCGGCACTGATGAGTCTTCATATGATCTTCTAATTAAGAGAAGCTTTGCAGCAAACATGTACTTACTTCCCAATCCCTGTATCCGATGATCCGAAGAGTCATCCTTGGCAGTAGCAAACGTCATGATGAACATGATACGATCCAATCCATCAGGGTCGACATTCTTTGGACCTCGGTGCCAGATGTTTTGATTAAAGAGGAACGCATCGCCCTTGCGCAAGAGACCGTGTTCACCGGTGTGCCCATTGGTGCTAACCTCAAAGGCACCGTGCTCCAGGCAAAGCTCTTCTAGATCTTTGTCCGCACAGAAGTGTGATCCAGGGCACACTGTCGTTGCTCCCAAGTCCTTGCTGGTATCCTGCAGCGCAACAAACATGGAATAGGAATGCAGAAAGGTCCTTGAGTACAGCAGAGACGACCCAAACCAATCGGAATCTGTGTGAATCCCTTGATCATGAGCTCCATTCAACGACGTCAATGTGGAGATTTCCACAATGGCCGGATCAGGTCCCAAGATTCCCTCCAATGTACGCTTGATGACAGGATGGTTTCCAATCTCCTTCATGGCTTTTGCAATGGCTGGATGATCGTTCGTTCCGATTCCCAATGACAATCGATTCTGTTCCTCCCAAAAGACCTCGTTGTAGGAGAGATTTTGTTTGTTGTGGTGTTTCAAGGCCAAGTACGCCCGTAGCTCCGTGGCAGTGTCGTTACTCAATGCATTCTGAAACGCCACGGCACCATGTTCCAACATAACATCGGCCGCTTCCGTTCCCGTGTAATGTTCTTGAATGAGAAGATCATTGGAGGATCGTGTCGAGAGATCCTTCGGTCCACAATGGCGGTTGTAGTACGTGAAATCATTGGCATAGTCAGGGTAGAAATCGCCGACCATTTCGCTGCGCCGGTAAGACTCGACAATGGGAACCACATACGTCCCATACACACGTTGTACCAGTGCTACCGATAGCAAGGCCGCAAAGAGCAACACCACGGGTCCTTCGAGGATGATGGCTCGGATAATCAATGTCCATTGCGAGGTGCTTTTTTTCTTCTTGGAAGCACTCATCATGGCTTTATTGTTGCTCTCGACGGGAGGTCCGCCATGAGCAGTGCGCGGTATCGCAGAGGTCGAAGTATCCAGGAGCATTGTCGTTGATGGATGATGGATGGACCGACAAGCGAGACAATGGTACAAGTACTAAGTTTCCTTCGTTGAAATTGAATGAGACCAAGTCAAAGAATGCTCTATGGTTGGACAACCAAAGCTCTTGTTCCCATTCAATGCATTGGCCGTTGAATGATTGATAGAGTGGACAGATTCCGAAAGCGTGGTTCGGATGGCAGCTTTCAAAATTTCGTCCTTCGCAAGAGTTTAGTTTCTAGAGGTCCAGTCTTGAGGGAGTGGTGTGATTTTCAAATCTCTAGTAGGGGTGGGGATACGTAGTTGAGACTTGGATACGGGCGCACTGGGCGAGGGAGCACGGAGCATGTCGGTGCGGCACTGTCCACTAAAAAGCAGCGGCACCGTCCACAACCACACCACAACCCCTTCATGGCAACCCAGGATTGCTTATACTAATAGTACATGTAGTGTTGTTGCCAGCTCGGTTCCACACCGTCAATCGACTTGCTTGTTAGCTTACTGAGGTAGCATCCAGCTCCCGGTACCGTACCGGTACGTACAGTGGAGTAAGCATACCATGGATTCTGATCTCCGAGCTGAGGGTAGCATTGATGATGACGATGCCGATGGCACTGATGCAACCGGTGCCATCATTCCCGTGGCTCAAGCTACTCCCATTCCAAACACAGGATCAACGGCTGCACCTTCTCCTATGGCCTCCGCACAAATCATCATTCCAGAATCTGAATCTAATGATGCACTTCCGGAAGGCGAAGCGGAGCCACAGCAGCCGCGCCGAACCACCAGAAACAACAAATTCAATTCAGCTAGGAGGGAAGAAGCAGACAGATTGGCAGCCATAAGAGCAGTCATCAGCAGTTAACAAACATGGACTCAGAGGATCAGACCATCAAGGTAAACCAGACAACTCTGTTGCTGCTGGAAATGAAGTGGATGCTGAAGAAACATTCTCCGATGGAAACTTTAGCAATAACGAGGAACCTGAAGTTATTGTGGCAGTTACAAATTCCCACTCTGAGGGTAGCTCCAGCCCGTCGCGAGATGGCACTGGCGCCGTCGATGGCTCACGGCCCCTCTCGACCACGGCACCGATGCCACCTACTGGTCACATTGACCTACAGGATAATGTCGACGCTGAAGCTCCACCGCTCAAAATCACCACCTCTACCCCACATACCGGCAGAAGTATAAACGACGATAACAGGAGCATCAACAGGAACGCAAAAGAACAAGATGAGGTTCATTGCTCCTTCCACATCTCGAGAACAATCTGTTGTGCAATCGGTACCGCCACTTTGGTTATCATAGCAGTCGTGGTTGTGGTCATTGCTATTCTCGCTTCCAATAGTGACAGCGGTGCTTCCTTGGCGCCTACGAGTGCCAATATTGCCAAGCCAATCCCTGAAGCAACGATGGCCCCTTCTGTATCAACCCCTCTATCAATGAATCTCACTTTCACTGTTCCAAATCCAACAACGCTTCAACCCTCCTCCAGTCCCAGTCTACCACCAACTGATCAAGCTGCCGTGATACAAGACACAGTGATGCTATTCGGTAGAGTCTACAATGTTACCACCACATCAAGAATAGGACAAAGCAACACCAGTTTAACTGGAAGCATTCCCACAGAGATAGGATTGTTGACCATGCTGACTGGCTTGTTGCTGAACGAGCATAGCCTGAGTGGAAGCATCCCATCTGAGTTTGGACTACTGACTCGATTGATTTACTTGAGTTTGTACCAGAGCAACCTGGGTGGAAGCATTCCAACAGAGGTGGGGTTGATGACTGCCCTGACTGGCTTGTGGTTGAGTGACAACAACATTGATGGTAACATTCCATCAGAGCTTCAATCATTGACTAGATTGACAACCCTCAGCTCAAACAAAAACCAGTTCAGCGGAAGCATTCCATTGGGGATTGGTCTGTTGACCAGGTTGGCTTTTTTGGACTGTTCGCAGAACAAGTTGAGCGGAAGCATCCCAACAGAGATCGGATTTTTGACACGATTGACTCGCTTGACTTTGTATGACAACATTTTGAGAGGAGAAATTCCTTAAGAGACTGCACTGTTGACTCTAGGTTGACTGGTTTATGGCTGTATGGGAATAGCCTGAGTGGTAGCATTCCCACAGAGATGGGATTGCTTAGTGCCTTGATTGGCTTCCTACTCTCAAATGATGTTCTTCATGCAGACCCGTATCTCAATTGCCCTTGTGAAAGCTACCCATTTATGTCTCCGTGGATCTCGCAAAGCCAAACCATTTGGCCCCAGTACTGGTCCCCACTTTCTTGCCCCTGATCCCACAGAACCTAGTCCTGAATTTCGACTGTTCTTTGCTTAAGCCTGGCCCCGGCTGGCTTCCGTAGATAATTTCCCTACTGTAAACCCCCGTTTCGTACCATTGTAGTCTCACTTCATTTCCGCTCTGGGACAAAAGCTGACTAGCTACGTTACCAGTACGTAAGGTAGCAGGCAGTGCGTTGGATCTTTTGTCTAGCTACCGTACCGGTACCAGTGTTTCGTATCTTTTTATTGCCGTTGTTTCTATTTAAATTTTGTTTACCACCGAAGAAGATGCCAAGATCAGGGCCGCAATGCCGCTGGGTGTCCACCCTCCACCTGTACCGGTATTGTTACCTTCCACATGCATTGGTATCATGCTACTCCCAATGAAGACACCGCATCGATGGTTTCTCACTGCGCCGCTACTGCTGTTGTGTTCGTATCTCGCAACCGCGAGTGACACTGGCGATGCAGATGATAATGATACTAGTTTCACCAGTGGCATGGCTGCCCAAGTCCGATTGCACGATGGCAACACGATGCCCGTGTTGGGATTGGGAGTGGCCCTCACTGCCGAAGCGACGTATTCCGCCGTCCAATCCTCACTTGAAGTGGGATACCGATTGATTGATACGGCCGCCGAAGAGTCCTATGGCAACGAAGATGCGGTCGGGCAAGCGATTCGAGACTACATCCATAAAGAAGAAACAACAACAATCACACGAGACAATGTCTTTGTGACGACCAAACTGTGGGATTCGGATCATGGCTTTTACGAAACTCTAGAAGCATTTGACGAATCCTACGACACGTTGGATCTTGGAACGATGGATTTGTATCTCATGCATTCACCATTTGGTGGGAGATTGATTGAAACATGGGATGCCATGCTATACGCTCAGTCGCAAGGACATGTCAAATCCATTGGAGTGTCGAATTTTGGCATTCCCCATTTGCAAGCCATTCTCGATAGTGGACGACCCTTGCCGGTCGTGAATCAAATTGAAATGCATCCACTGGTATTCCGACGACGTGCGCCTCTCATTGAATGGTGTCAAAGACACAACGTGCAGATACAAGCCTACGGAAGTCTCATGCATGGATATCCGGAATGGTTGACCACACCGCAATTGTTGGTCGACTTGGCACGGAAATACGATTCTTCAGAGCAACAACAAGTCACAACGGCACAAATCCTCTTGAGATGGGCCTTGCAGCATGACTTTTTAATCATACCCAAGTCATCGAAACGAAAACGCATTGTGGAGAATGCGCAATTGTACAATTTCTTTCTTTCAGAGGAAGACATGAAGCTTCTGGATGACTGGGGTGACAACGTCACACCTCAACAGGGAAACTTGTACAAGATGGATTGGAACTGGAATCCCGTCGATGAAGCATCGGTTCATTTAGGCCGAACAGACTATTGGCCACACTATGAAGGTGTCGTTTGGGAAGACCACGAATACGACCACGAGGAACCAGAAGAAGGGGATGACGTCTACGAGGAGAGCGACGAAGATGAAATCGACGGCGACGCGGCAACCCACAATGAGCTATAGCAGGCATTTCAATGGCAACATCCCAACAATCGAATTGTTTTCCACAGAGTAACGTCCTTTCGTCAATCCTTTGGGATTCCCACTGCATCGCTAGCTACGGTAGAATGCACAACCAAAGCAGAGCACCTGACGACAGCTTCTTCTAGAATTTTCGCAGATGACTGCATGGTTGACATCAAGCGGGAATACAATCGAACCAATGAACAGCTCTTCCTACGATTGACCACTGTACTGCTGTTGTAGTGTCAAACTCTGAACTACCAGTCAAATTTACCCTTGATCCTTTGACAAGCAAAGGATGATAGACCAAGATTGCAGTGCTTGCAAACCATTGCAAGTACCGCTGCTGCATCGCCAATATAGGCATGTTGCACATCTTTTGACTAGCAGCCCAAGAATGACGCCTACACTGTGTAGCTTGTTGACCTACCTGTTTTCTATGATTTTCGTTTCATCCATCCCTTGAGCATCAGAAGCAGTCCCCATAGAGGACCTGGAAAACCAACATTCCAGAATTTGATCAAAGATTGGCTCGTAGTTGTATCGGAATATGCCAGCTTTCCAAATAAACAGTGTTGCAATACTGCGAATAGAAGACATAATGTTGGATTGGCCATGCCAATCCGCATAGGTGTAGAGTTCGCCCGATACCTCGTCCGTGAAATCACCGGACAGAAGTTGCTCATTAGAGAACTGTGGGTATCTCAGATTCAATCCACAACCAGAATATTCCATGACCTGGGGTGCAACATCGCCAGGCATGGACGTGTGTAACAGACCAAATATATGACCAGCTTCGTGGCCTGCTACATACCCAAACAGGTTCTGGAAGGCAATCTTGACAAGAGGCCCAATCGAGTAAAAAAATGTGTTGTCTCTGGTGAGAGCAAATGCTGGTGCCTTGTAGTTGAGGCTCCCTCCTAAGGGAACATCTCCACTGGCACAACCATTGATATTTTGTCCCAACTTGGGAACCACCAATACATTGATTCGGTCTACATTGTTGATTTGATCTTGGCCACCAGAACTGGCTCTGGCGGCAAATCTGATCAGAGCATTACCACAAACCATTTCTGATGGATTGTCATAGTAGAACGAGTCATCAATCTCATAGATATCTCCAAGGATGAAGTCGACTCGACCGTCAAACCAATAGTTCATCCAAAATAGTTGTCCCGCCATTCGAGATTTTGATATTGTATAGTCCTTGTACGGGATGATTCCCAGCCAACGTTTCTCTTCAAATAATCTGTAAAAATCCACGGTTACTTCACCTTTGTAGACACTGGCTTGGCCATTTTCACTGGCCCTCAAGGCTCGGTTCTTGTTGGACGCAAGCGATGGCCGCAGCAGCACTGCCATGCAAGCACATGTCAGCACCAAAAGTGCAAGACAGCCCCATCTCTTCATGGTTGTGCCTATTGTTGCCTAGTCGTTGGACTGTTACACACATTATGAGGTTTTCTTTTCGGAGACGAGTTGTTTTTGCCATGGGGATTGCCATGATCGGTACTAGAGTAGTTTCCGTAGATATCTCCCTATGGTACTCCTCAACCCCCTCTACTATGAAAGATATGGAGCACCTTGGTGGCTTTCTTCCGGCTTTGGCTCTCTCTAGCTAGCTAGTAGTTTTGAAGGAGCACCTCTCTCTGGTGCGTTGGAAGAAGGAATGAGTCCTCTTCTTCAAAAGAGGGCTGGAGCGTTCCTCAATCGTGCATGTCCTTTTAAATCCGACCTAATTTTTGGTCGGTTTGGGGAAACTCGACGCTAAATCCGATTTTAGGGTCGGTTTCGAAACCCGACCCTAAATGAAACCCGTCCCTAAATTAGGGACGTTTTTTCAGAAACCGTCCCTATTTTTCAGAAACCGTCCCTATTTTAGGGTACGCCCTAATATTGGTCGTTCAATGTATTTACCACTCAGTCCCGCTTCCATTTAGGGACGTTTTTCAAACCGACCCTAAATGAAACCCGTCCTAAATTAGGGACGTTTTCTGAAAACCGTCCCTATTTTTCAGAACCGTCCCTATTTTTAGGGCGGTTTTCAAACCCGACCCTAATATTGGTGCGTTTTCAATGTATTTACCACTCAGTCCCGCTTTCATTTAGGGACGTTTTTCAAACCCGACCCTAAATCGAACCCGTCCCTAAATTAGGGACGTTTTTTCAGAAACCGTCCCTATTTTTCAGAAACCGTCCCTATTTTTAGGGTCGGTTTCCAAACCCGACCCTAAAGGGAACCCGTCCCTAAATCCGTCCCAAATAATAGGGTCGGTTTTCGTTAAGACATGCACGATTGAGGAACGCTCCTGAGGCTTCACGGAGAGAGCTCAAGCGAACCGTTCCTCTTAGACGCACACTTGCCTTTACTTTATGCTCTCGGACCCCACCCTGCGAACACGCAAGGCTGCTTTTTGTGACATTCGAAGGGTTAGGAGTAATCTGGTTTATGGGCAGTGTTTGGGACCACGCGGTAGCTGCTACGACTAGCTAGCTAGCTAGTAGCAGCGCAGTGCCACCATAGTCGCACTTTCCATCTTGCGGATGACTGCAGCATGACATCAAGCGGGAATAGAATCAAATCAAAGAGCAGCTCGCATGGACTGTACTGCTTCTGAGCGAACCGCCAAAATGATAATCCTTCATCCTTTGATAAGCAAAGGAAGACGATAGACCAATATTGCAGTGCTTGGAAACCAATGCAAGCACCGCTGCTGCGTCGCCAATCTAACTACTAGGTAGGCATGTTGCACATCTTTTGACTATCAGCCCAAGAATGACACCTGCTAGCTGGTTTACCTACCTGTCCTCTATGATAATTGTGTCACCCATCTCTGGAGCATCAGAAGTAATCCTGGCATAGGACCTGGAAAACCAACATTCCAGAATTTGATCAAAGATTGGCACGTAGTTGTATCGAAACATCCCAGTGTTCCACAATTGCAAGAGCGGTGTTATAGTACCTCTGAAGGAAGACATCATGTTGGATTGGCCTTGCCAATCCGTGTAGGTGTAGAGTTCGCCTGATACCTCGTCCCAAAACTTGAAATCACCGGACAGAACTTGCTCACTAGTGAACTGCGGGTATCTCAGATTCAATCCACAACCAGAATATCCAATGCCCTGGGGTGCATCATCGCCCTCCATGGATGTGTGTTGTAGCCCAAATATATGGCCAGCTTCGTGGCTTGCTAGATATCCAAACAGGTTCTGGAAACCAAACTTGCCAAGAGGCCCAATCGAGTAAAACCATGTGTTGTCTCTGGTGAGAGCAAATGCCGGTGCCTTCTCCAAGAAGTTCCCTCCTAGGGGAACATCGAAATTGGCACAAGCATTGGCACTTGGTCCCATGGGACCTTGTCCCAACTTGGGAACCACCAATACGTTGATTCGGTCTACATTCCTGATATGATCTTGGCCACCAAACCTGTCGGAAAATCTGCCAAGAGCATTGCCACAAGTCAGGTCTGCTGAATTGTCATAGTAGAACGGATCATCAATCTCGTAGACATCTCCAAGGATAAAGTTGACTCGACCCTCAAACCAAAAGTTCATCCAAAATATTTGTCCCACCATTCGAGATCTTGACATTGTGTAGTCCTTGTATGGGATGATTCCCAGCCAACGCTTCTCCTCAAACAGTCTGTAGAAATCCACGGTTACATTGCCCTTGTAGACACTGGCTCCTCGGCCATTATTTTCACTGGCCCTCAAGGCCCGATTCTTCCTGGACACAAGCAATGGCCGCAGCAGCGCTGTCATGCAAGCACAAGTCAGCAGCAAAAGAGCAAGAGAGCCCGCCCATGGCTTGACCTGGAATCTCTTCATGGTGGTGCCTATTGTTTGTTGCCTTGTAATTACAGTGGTTAAAAATAAGCACATGGTGAGGTTTTAGCAGATGATTGCCAACGAAGATTCCCATGATCGGTACTAGAGTAGTTTCCGTAGAATCATGATTGAACTGATACCGGTACCTACCGTATGGTTATGGAGCGACGTTCAACGCTTCTGGACTCTTCGTGCAAAGCACATTCAAGGCTTCCTCCTTCCTCCTTTTCGTGCAGCAATATTTTGAAGGAGCACCTCCGTTCTTGGATCCAAGCCCACGAGCATGCAATGCTTTCTGCCATTCGAGCTTCGTAAGGGTTAGGAATTTCTGCTTTGGGCACCGCCGCTCGATCGCGAGTGCCATGGTCGCACTTTCTTCCTTGGCTTGTGGGGAAGCACCGCACAAATAACAACTCCATTTTCATCGTCAGCGCTTTGTCAAAAGGTTTCCATCCGTCATGGCGTCATTGGTGGTGGCCGAAGACAACAACAACCATGACGAGGACAAGCCAGGATCTAGTAGTAGGCGCTCTACTACTATTTGGCATGACAGTCATGTGCAACGATTTGCCGAGCACGGCAAAAAGGGATGGAAGTGTCTGTGGTGCAACTTGTCCTTCCTGGGAGAACCCAACGCCACCAAGTGCTTGGCTCATTTGACGAGATCCGCTGGCAAGCACATCAAGCTCTGCACTTGCGCTACAATTCCAGCCGACAAGTTTGCCCATTACCGTCATCTTCAATTGGATTTGGAGAATCGTCGACGACGCAAAGATGGACAACCAGAAATTGGATTGGAGGAATTGCCCACGCCCGTCGCCACGGACAAGCAAGTGGGACCTCGGACGTGGGCGGATAGTCTGGAACTACTACGAGCATACAAAGAGGTGAGGATTGAAACAGAGAGAGCACTCTTTGTTCCACGTTGTCGCTGACTGACGCTCATCGCCATTCTATGCCATTCTTAGGAACATGGTGACTGTAACATTCCAAAATCTTACCAAAAAGACAAGGCACTCGGGGAATGGGTGGTCAAACAACGACAAAATCAAAGAAAACTACTTCCAGGTGTGTCTTTGTGTGTTGTCATATCATGACATTTGACATTTGACGTAGCTTTTTTTGTTTGTTTGGAACCATTCTCAACTTGGCTTTATTGCTAATTTTTCTTTTATCTTGTCTTCTCTATGTTTCCATGATTTGCCTGTATCTACTTCTTATGTAGAACAACGAAAACAAATGGAAGACTTGGGATTCAACTTTGAAAGCCGCCAGGAACAGCAAGATAGAAAATGGGATGCCATGTTGGAGGAAACCAAAGCCTACAAGGAAAAACATGGACATTTCAAAATTCCCGCCAAGGCCACCAAGGACGAAAAACTCAAGGTTCTCTCCAGATGGATGAATTATCAACGACAACACTACAAAAAGAAAAATCTGGAGTTGTCGAGAGTGGAAAAACTCAATTCCATTGGCTTTGATTGGAGGGCTGACACGACGCGTGCCACCGCCAACACTAAAAAGACGACAACCAGCAATAGTAATGATGGCAATAACAGCAACAACAACAACAACAAAAACCATGGCCACGAGGCACAATGGAAGGAGAATTACGACAAGCTCGCACAATTTCACAAAGAACACGGACACTGCAATCTACTGACGACACACTCCGACAAGTCACTGTATTTTTGGCTCAAACGACAACGAAATGCCTTTCACAAAAACCAACTACGAGACGACCGGAAAGAGCTGCTCGACCAAATTGGAGTTGCGTGGGACCCAAAGGGCGAAGAAGCATTGCAGAATGCTTGGAATGTTCAATTCGAACGGCTCCTGGAGTACGGCAAGGAACACGGGACAGTGGCCGTTCCACATCGATACGCGCCTCACACCCTGGGAACCTGGGTAGCCAGTCAAAAACGGTTCTTTCGTGATGGCGTCATTGATCCGGATCGGGCGCGGCGGTTGTTGGATGCCGGTCTTCCGATTGTCGTCGAAAATGAACAGAGCTGGAATTCCCGCTACGAACGCATCAAGGCATTGGATGGGAGTGCTTGGCAGGATGTCCCCAAGCACGCGGACTTGGAAAAATGGGGACGACTGCAATTGATACTGGAGGAACGCAACAAGCTGGCTGCTGACCGACGAAGCAAGTTGGAAGCAATTGGCTTTTGCAACAACGAGCGCCCACAGTCGCCTGTGGGACCAAAAGCCACAACTATCAATTCTGTTTTGCCTACATCCAAGCCACAAGCTACTGCAATCCCCACCGCCGATGCTGAGAAGGAGCATGAATCTACCCCCGATCTGGCAGGCACCAACTCGAACGCTCCTCGTGCCACCAACGTCATCATGGAGTCCAGCTCCGCAATCTTGGTAGACACGGCCGTTGTTGAACAACCAATCGATCCGGCTCACAACCCACCCGCCGCACCTACACACGTGGCAGCATTAGCAGCAGCTACAGCTCCGGACCAGCCGACGGCCCCCAATGCCGAGCCTGATCCCGTTGCGGACTTGCCCGCTATCGTCGATCAAGCTGTGATCACATTGGAACGATATCCTGACAGTCCGCAGGCACCCGCGCTGGAAAAAGCACAGCAAAAAGTGGAACTGACAACGGATCCAGCTGCAATGGAATCAACTGACGGTGACAATCCTGTTGGTATCAAAGTAGCGGCAACAACCGAGGAAGAGGCAGCCAACAATCAGAAGCGAACCTGGCAGCAGAGCTTCGAGGTGCCCCAGGAACACAAAGAAGAGCACAGAACTTGCACACTTCCGTCGGCGTACCCAGAGGACCCTACCCTCGTCCAAGGGTCGAAAAAGCAATGCACATCCAATCCCCAGCTCCCGTCAGAGCAAAACGACAAGCTGGAAGGCATCGGATTTGTTAGCATTTGAACAACAAATCGAAACAGAAGAAAACAATGTACATGTACTGTATCTATATGAGCAGAGAAAACATCCTCTTCGCAGATATGCATCATGCTTGACCTGTGTCTCGTCCGTCACGTATCAGGATGTCTTCTCATGTCTTGCGTTGGCCGAAGCCAGCAGTTTCGAGACCGGCACGAGTACAAAGCTCAGGTAATGTATGTTGGGCAAGTAGCGGCGCCTTGTCTTGTCTTAGTAGTCTTGTCACCCGGAAGCGGTGTGAGCCTTGGAAAGAGATGTCTTTTTTTAAATTAAAAGTGGTACTATTGATCGGGCTCAGCACGATACAGTACGTCTGGTTGGACCCCCCAACCGCGTTTTCTTAACACAAAGGGCTCCAATTCAAAAATTACTTTCGTCAGTCACCAGTGTATTCCTGTTGTTGCACCACACATCAGCTGTTGGTGGGTCCCGGATCCAAATCTGCCGCAGACAAAGTCAACAGTGCCTTTTCTTGCTCTCAAAGGCCATCAACACATCTGTCCATCGCATCAAATCCAGTGGAAGGGGCACCTACTGGATCCAGTGGACGTGCAAGGACAATGATGGCGGCCCGGCAGTCCTGTGGGCATTTGATCTGGATGACAACCAATAAGTCGAGATTCTCCAAGTCCATCATAACACTTGAGTACTGATCACTGGCCTGTTTCTGCTTCTGGATGCCCATGAGCAGGTCATTGCTGCAACCTTTACCCTCGTTCCAACGATCAGTTTGCAACATCAGTCTGTTCTGCCCCTCCCTTTTCCCCAGAGGAAGCGCCATTTGGCCTTTGCATTCATTCTACCGATCATGCTAGCTAGCTAGATCTATCTTCCAAATCTATCAATCTTTTGACAACCCATTGAGTTAGCTTTTCCGTTGGCGCCGTTTCTGAATTCGCTGTGGTGATTGTTGCCTTGAATCTGATTTCGCCCGCTTAGACAAAGCTGAAGCCAACGAATCTCCCTCTGTGCTGGTTGCTTTACCAATGGCAGAGCCATCAGATGGGGACACCTTGCTTTTGCTGGGGCAACCTGCGTTGCGTGTGTTCCGAAACAAGTGGGAAATCTACAAGCAAGGAATGGGTGAGAATAATCAGCAAAATCATTTTCGACTCTTCTTTGCCTAAGCCTGGCCCTCGCTGGCATCCATAGAGTACCTCCCTACTACCGTTACTTTCTCTGTGCCAACAGATAAACTCATTTTTGTACATACCTTGTTCCTTGCGTCTTCTTGGTCCACTCTTTCCCATGCATCATCTTCCCATTTCAAAAACCGACCGTGCGATTCTCGGATCATTGTGACAATACGTTCAGCAATTGCTGTCTTTTCATACTTTCCCGCAGCCTCATACTTGTCTCGAAACATGTCAGCAATATGTGCAGCTCTCAGGTTGCCGGTGTGATTCCTTGTATGAAGTCCTCGTCCAAAGAGGACATCAAATCGACGGGGGACTAAAATATCAATGTTTGTGTCGCCTTTTTCTTCCTGCTTGCTCCAGCTCTGAATACATTGAAGATGATGCTCCAGATCAATGGGTTCATTTTTTGGACGGAATGGGAAACGATCCGTTGCGATTCCAAAGGTCTGCAATGCAAATTTGAGCTGTTCAAAGTCCCCATAGTGAACTCGGATTCGAGTCCTCAGTTCCTCGTGGAGGAACCATCGAATGCCATCAACCAATGGACGTAGACACTTTTGGCTGAGCAGAATGTGGACACAAACCACCTTGCGAGGGATCCCAGGCCTGAGTTTATTCATTAGCTGTGCTTGGGTGAGTATACTTTGTTGTACTTGTTGCAGAGATTGCCCTGACCACCTCATTACAATAACAACGCCCTTCTTTTGTGCCATCTCAGTTTGGAGAATGGACATTATCATTAGCACGATGGCACGTAGCTGCATGTGAATAGGGGAAAGAACGACAAAATATCAGAGACCAAAATGTGGATGCCAAGAGCTTGCAGTTCCACTCCACTTTGGATCCCAATTACATACATGGCATTCCACAGCCAGAGAGCCATCTATGCAAGTAGGTGATAATGCCAAGACCAGACGGCCAGCAGCATCGCACCCAGGCAAGAGCTGCCATGCCCCTGATTTGAGAGCCTTCAAATCATCTTCATTGAGATCACTCATACGCAGCTTTCGGGCCAAGGCAGGTCCACCACCAAACATATCCATCTTGTTCTCCAAATGTGTTACTATTCTTTGTGCCGACGCCTCGACATCAAACTTTTCGCTGCGAAGAAACATGAGCCGAAACTCCCGACCCGTTACATATTCTTCATTCAAATACTTGGCTTTTTCGTACGCTTTTCGGTCTGGTATCTTTCGAATTTCCTGCTCCAATTGCTCAAGCAGATCATCTATGTTCTCAGGATCGTTAGATTCCTGGGCCATCCCATGGATGTCAAATGTGGTACGCTCGTTTTCTTCAACCGACAGCTTCTCCATTTCATCTGCCAAGAGCTTTTCAATCAGATCTGCTCCATCAGAAGACTGAGGGGAGCGCTCCAAGGAAAGACCTGCCTCGGGAAAGGTCTTGTCTCTTTCAACACCCAATTCTCCAGTCACAAGGTCCCCATCATCAATTTTGGTATCAGGAGCCACTGGATCACACACTTCCTGATTGTTTGCAGTGTTATTATCTGCTAATGTGGTATTTTCAGGAACTGGAACACTGTTGTTGCTGTCAAGCACTGGTACCGGTAGGAAAGGCTCCATGGTTAGTGCAGAGCTGATCTCAAAGAATCTTTTCTCCTGGCCCTCTCTGGCTTCCGTAGATAATCTCCCCACTCTGAAACCTCGTGGAATATTTCCTCTGTTCAATGAGTTCAGCTATCATAATATGAGTGTGGTACTGGTACCAAGAGGCGAGGGGAGGCTTAGCCCCTTGGCTGTTGTCCTCCCTCCATTTCACCACGTGGATCTGGAGTACTCGTACTCTAGCTAGAGTAGTACGATTACCGGTAGGAATGAACAATACAAGCAATCAATTGCTTCCTTTAAGCATGTATGGAAACTGCATGCACGGAGCAACTAAGACCAAAAGTCGTGGCGTCTCATGGCTGTGGGGTGTGGGGGTGACAGAATGAATCGAATCGAAGCACTACCGGTACCGGTACGCAACATCAAAATTCAACCGCTCTAAATCCCCCGTTGTCCCACGTGGTGGCCACGGAACACTGATACCGGTACTACCTTGGCTAAAAAAGGTGAACTAAATCTCAAGTTTAGCCCCAGTTTCAGCCACCGATTTAGCCTTGTGGGTATTCATTCATGCAGCTTTTGCTTACAATACATGTACATCGTACACTGTACCATCTTCTTTGAACAAAAGAGAATATTCTACTTTACTATGCCTACCGTAGCCAGCTTTGCATGCTTATTCGTAGAAGCCTCGCCACCACCAAGGGATCACGAGGAGAAGACTTAGTGTTGTTTTAGCTGTTGGAATCCACCTTGCAATGACACAAGGATGAAACTGGAAGAATTGGAAACCAGTTTGATTCGCAGCATTGAAGCCTATCGAGGGGAGATGCCAAGTCTGGAACCAACCACAACAAGAGCGCCAAGAAGTTTAGTCCTGGCAATGCCGTTCTCTCGGAGTTGTCCAATCTGCACAACTATCTGGAAGACGACGAACAACAATCCAGTAGCAAGAACGACAACAGTCTGTTGTTGAGTTGGGAAGCATCCGAACAGGACTATCAAACCATTTGTGGTCTCATCAGTGGACTGATTGCATTGGCCTCCAAAATTCAAGTGACAACTTTGGGTCAACGTCAACAAGATCCTTTCCGGTACCGCCGTGTTTGCTTTTAAGCAAGCTGTTACGAGCCGAGGCTCTGGTGGTAGTCAGCGCCATGCAAAGACACCAAGCGACCAGAAACAGGGAAGAAGTAGGTAATGATCCTGTCATTATTGCACCGCTTTGATTTCTACCGTATGCCTGTGAGCTAGCTAGCTGATACTAATAGAAAGCAAAAAATTCTTCTCGGTTAGAAGCTATATCTGACAACGAAAGGTAGTCGCCAAGGCCACAATAGTTTGTCGTGTACAAAGCTCCTCCCCCATACGGCACCATAATGTATGGTAGACAAGTACCGGTAGCGGTGCCTGCCTTGTCTTAGTAGCCTTGTCACCACCTTTGATGCGGTTCTGTGTTGCCTAGAAGCGGATGCTACCTTCGCGAAGACACAACATTATTTTTGCTTGCCACAGTACGATGTAACGAATGGAACAGTGCTTCACTCAGCCAGCTTCGTGGATCCTCCTCCTACAAACTTCGTTCCGTGCTTCGCACATGCTCGAAGATGTCATGGTCACACCTTGCCCTTCTCCCCCTTGCCGATGTAGCTTGTAGGCAGTGAGGGAGCAGTCTTGAGGAGTGCAGAAGGCTTTTTTCTGTTCGGTAGGTCCACTAGTAGCTCCGAGCATGGAGGGCGAGCTTGTCGAAGCAATTGCAGCGTCGGTTGGTTGAGGCTTGAGCCCTACATTGGCATACCTACTGTTGCCACGCACCGATGAAATTTTCGCATCGAGATCCCTTACTACGATGAATACAACAAAAGATACAACAAGCTGCATCAAAATCTCACAAAGAAAGTTGGCTAAAAAACAGACAACTTCTATGATGATGTTTCGGTTTCGGATTGGTGACAGCTTCAGGTCCTCTGATACGGATTGGATGAAGCAGTTGGTCACACCAGTATCTTTCTTGACAAGAGAAAACGTCGAGTGGCTTGAAACGTTGGATTATGTGGTATCACCAAAAGCTGATGGGCAACGCATGTTGCTGCTGTGCGAGCAGCAGACATTTGAGCTTTATCTTGTCCACCCGTCATCGTCATTGCCGCCCATCAAGCTGAACGGGAAGTATTTTGGACCCAGACTCAAGAGTGCTGGATTCCTCCTGGACGCTGAAGTAGTAGAAGTTGGAACGTCCAGATGGATCCTGGCGTTTGATGTTCTCGCAATGGAGGCAGACATGGAATTTGATGGCCATCGTTTCAAAGCGTGGGACCAGGGCATGGGATCGTACGATGTCCCGTGCCTCAAAGAACGGCACCGGTTGTTGGAGTCTCTGACCAAAGTCATGAAAGTACCAGGGCTGTTGATGAAGCCAGTGAAGCCCTCCAACGAAGCTTGCAAAGTGAAGGAGAGATTGCAAACTCTCCCGTATCCCACAGATGGGCTGGTTTTTACCCCTGCCAATGACCACGGCCTCCGGGCACTCAAGTGGAAACCAAAAATCGAGCTAACCCTGGACGTGGCTCTGGGTGGTCCGATCGAAACGGGACCAACAACCACACGCTTTGTTGCGTACTTGATGGCAGAGATTGACTGCGATATATCACTTCCGGCAAAGACTGCAGACGATGTTGTTCCTCCTGATCACGTGCCGTTTTGCATTTGCAGGTTGACCGGAAGCATCAGAATGCTAGCACCAAGAGAGGAATTCGACATCCTTGCCTTTGGGCTGAATCGTCAGAAATCGTGGGCGGACCCCCCGCAGGACTGCAACGAGGGTTGCCTATGCAAAGAAAACTCTTTCCTTGACCATCGTGGGAAAGAGGCGAAATTTGCCCACTGCCCAAGGTGCGGCTGTCTTGGAGTTGCGTTTGCTCCTAGCTTTGCCTTTCAATGTCAAGTGGCTTGCATGTGTGAAAACACCTACCGCGGTTTGCCTAGGGCAGCCACAGTGGACGTTCCCAAGGATCTCGCGGAGATGGCGAAGCATTCAATTGTTGAGGTGTACATGGATGAAATCAACAAGGATGACATGGCGTTGCGATTCAAGCGGCTCCGCCAAGACAAACAGTGTGCCAACACTTTTCAAGTGGTTGAACAAATCCGCAAGAGCATTCTGGAGCCGATTGAGCTCTCAACGATCAACTTTTGGGGCACCGAGGCCAAGCCTCTGGTCATGTCGAAGCGAGCACACAAGGGCGCATATCGCCAAGCTTCCAATGAAAGATGCAAGTTCGCCTTTGCGACTCTTCGAGTTCACCACTCTCAGATTAAAGGTTGGCTCTATAGAGCTTTCGGGGGCAAGCGTGTGATCGATATCTGTGCTGGTGGCTTGCACGATCTACACAACTGGCTTGACGCAGGGTTGGATATGGTTCTGGCTATTGAGAGAGATCCAGACCTTTGTGACCGTGGACGTTCCCGGCTCGAAGAGTTTGAGTTCACCCATTCTGACATGCGGGTCGAGCTTCTAGAGGCAGATGCATCAACGCTAAGCGCCTCGGCAGCATCGCTTCACCGAGACGGCCTCCCATTTGATTCCGTGTTCTGCAACTTTGCCATCCATTACCTCTGGGAGACCCCGGAGCAGACTGCACGCCTACTTGATAGCATGGCCTCTGCGCTTGCAGATCAGGGCCGGTTCGTCGTCACGTACCTTCAAGGAGAAAAACTTCAAGAGGATGGTATCAAGATCTACAATGACGAAGGAGGCATGGAGTTTTCAGCAGAATTGCTAGATGACAATGGTGCTCTTGTCAAGGTTTTCGTGGCCTCAATCGGGATTCCACACGTTGAAAGCGTGGTGAAACTTGATGATATGACGAGCCGATTCAATGACGGTGGTTTCGACTTGGTGGCTTCCTATCCTTTCCCCATCTTTATGAACATGTTTCCAACTAGCTTGTCTTCGCAGGAGTTGCAAATGTCCTCCCTCTATGGTGTTGCTGTCTTTGAGAAACGATCCGTGAAAGTCAAGTCTGATAGGCCCCAAGATGCAATGCTGCCTTCCGCTTTTCCTCGAGACAGAGAATCGTCGGATCTTGAGCGGGCTGTGCTGGCATTCTTGGACATCCCGGATCTCATGAAAGGGCGTTTTGTGTGTAAGTTTTGGAGATCTGCCATTGATGAGTTTCAGGTTCATGTACCTCGAGCGACAAAATGTCAATACTTTTACAAGCACGTGGTTGCATACAACAACGACGACAAGTATACCATGAATGCGAAGGAACTTTCTGCCAGGGCTTTGGCTTGCTATCTTCGTATGGGTGGAGACATTGCCACGGAGGACGAGATGATTCGATTCGGTACCAACTTTGAGGACGGCAGCGATAGCGAAAGCGATTCGGACAACTCTCGAGGGTGGTACAACAGGTATGACGACTTTTCTGATGGCGGTTGCTTTGATTATGGTGGCTGGTACTAGCAATCTAGTCTTGTGCCTGTGGATCGCTGCGTTTTGCCCGACCAAATCAACTGTGCTGAGTTTCTAAAGAGTAATAGTAGTGAATTGCAGTCTCTGGCTACTCCCACGTTGCCCGTAGTTGGTTCCATAAACTTTAAAATGCATGTCATGTATGGATTGCTATGTACATGTACGCATCAATTATCATAAATCTCATTTCAGTAGTACTGTAAGAGTCAAGTAAGTGATCGAGTTCACTTGTTACTTTTTGTCCGTCTCTTTTGTTGGTAGTTTGGGCGCCATGCATTCTTCAATTCCGTCGGGCAGTACGACGCCCCGTTGTTTCTTTTGCACAATTTCATGTCGCGCCTTTGTCAATTGCATATCCAATACGGCATTGGCGGCTTGATGGAGTACTCGCGCGAGTCGATTGGTTTGATTGAAAAACGCCTTGTCGTCGTCGGTCCAGTACGTGACGGGTCGACAGGACTGCATCCGCCGTGTGGGCAATTCGTGCCATGGTACATTGAGTTTGTAATGCAAGAGACACATGCTTTCTTTCATGCGTTCGGTAATACCAAACCACATCATGTCGCCTCCGTAGGGTGGTGATTCACCTTGTGCGTCGGTTTCAACGGCATCAATGCCCCCCAAATAACGCACGGCATTGTGCACATGCTGTTCTACCGACATGCGCGGATTGCTATTTTTGGGATAATGATGCAGATTGGTGAGAATGTTTTCCGTGCCTTCTTTGCCCCCCGCCAAGAACGCGTGAATGGATGCACAATGAGGCGAATCATCGAGTTGTCCCGCTTGAAATGCCTTGCAAATACGTCGTCGATGGGGTTTCTTTTGTTTGAGTTGTGCTTCTGTTCGTCCGGAACATTCCCGTTTGTTCGATTCGATCCGTGCCAATGTCAATTCGTTCAAACTGTATCCATCGCACGCATTGGTGGCATTCGTTTGTGGGATGCCGTAGAGTTGTGCCTTTTTGGCCCATTTGGCACCCTTGCACATCCATTCGTTAAAGTTGGACGCCACGAGTGACATGGGATCGCGCAACATGGTGACTTGTTGAACTCGCTTGAGGGGCAGATTGCTTTTGGTGTACCGGTACATACCGGCCGCATCGGACAATTGTTGATTGACGCGTCGATATCCCGAATGAGAAAAGATGACTTTATGGCGGTGAAACCACTCTTGACGCGACAAGTCTTGACTGGTTTCTCGTTTGTGTTTTTGCGAGTCTTTGTAATAGCGTTCTTGCCATCCTTTAAAGTTGAAACTTCCCGATTCATGTGATCCGGGCACGACGCCTCCAATGCTCTTTTCCAGCACATTACTGACGGAAGTTCCTCCCGACTTGAGGGGATGGAAAAAGACAATCACGTCCTTGTCGGGTTGATATTCATTTTCATGGCCATAAACATCCGCCAAGAGTGTGTGGAGGATGGAAGACGAATTCCCCAGTTCCCACCTGTCCATCACTTGAGCAATGGTAGCATTCAGGTCGAAACTTTCTACCTGGAAGTCTACTGTCCAATTGTTGGCTTCATTGGTTGTTACTGTAATAGCTGTAGTTGTTGGTTCTGTGGGTACCAATGATGACGTTGGTGTGACTTCTGTAGTTGTGGTTGTGGCTGTGGCCACTTCTTCTTGCGATTCTTTTTTTGGAGGTTTTGTAACGGGAGGTTTCTTGTTTTCGGGATTCTTCATGGTCCTTCGACCTCGTTTCCTACTACTGGCGGTTGTCACGGCGTCTTTATCCTTCTCACTGTTGTTGTTGTTGATCACCACCGACACGGCAGTACCATTGTTACCACTACTCGTACTAGTAGTACTTGTGGTAGTAGGGGTGGTACTAATCACTGTTGTGGACGTATCGCTCGATACCAGCAAAATCATCACGCTGCGATTGAACTGAAGAATCGTAGACAGCATCATCACAACGGCCACCACGCCAAACATCGCATTGCGAAACCCCAACGGTGACGAAGAGCTCGTCATGGTCAACTTCTTTTGGATGTCGTCTTTGTTGTTGTCTTTGTGGATGATGTATGGCAGCCTCGGTCTCTAGCGGAATAACCGCGTCAAGGGCCCATCCGTACAAAAACTACACAGCGGTATAAGCCACAAAGGACTATAGAGCAAACAGTACAAACGGGACATTGCATGTGTGAATGACCAGTTGGGGCAATGCGATCGTCTTGTGAGCATCTCACAATTTGAAACAACCACAAAACCGGTTGGGCTCGAGACTCGAGACACCACCATGCACCATGCACAACGTTCACCACGGGTTCAGGCGTTCAGGCAGAACGCATGTCGTCTCAAAAAACAAAGGATATGTTACTTAGTACTAGTAGTACTGGTAGAGGTACATGCTCCCTGTCTGCACACAAATAAATGGAAGACCACGGAAATCGCTGTGGAGGCTAGGCCGCTCCATTCCACCTCTGCAAGCCTGGACAGCCACAAAAGGCACGAAGGTCGCTCGTTGCTGCAAAATAGATGATTGAAGTAGCCAATCAATCAATCCTTTGCCGAGCTGGAAAGCAGCTAACAATATATAGCTGAAGATTCCTAAGTTATCAATAAGTATGAATACTCGCTCTTGCTTGTAGCTACGGCAGATTAGTAGTAGATGTGTGTCATGAGAGAACTACTACCGGTACCGGTACCGGTACCGGTGCCGTACCGATAAGACTACGGCACTGCAGCAGTGCCATGCCTCCTTCCTCAGCAAAGACTGGAGACTGAATGCTTCTCGCTCGACTTTCGTACCGGGCTACTCCAAGGAAAATGTTGAGAATTCTCACCATTACTGGACCGTCCCAAGGTTTTTGCTCAGGTTTAAAAACTGCTCAAATCATGGTTCTGGTTAACGATGTATCCTACCGTCCGGCGCGCATCGGCAAACAACACGAAAAATCGAGCGAAAATGGCGCTGCATGACCTCTTTGTTGACACTGTTAACTCCCTTTCGACAGCTTGACTTTGCTGTGAGCCCTTTCTATAAGTCTATCGGTGGCATCGCCGCTTATCCTGCCACCTTTGGAGCGCCAGAGGCTTAGAGATAACAGGGTGGAAAAGAATCAGCGATACGGCTGTTTAAGCCTTCCTGAGCACCTATGAGTGGCAGGTTAAGTCTCTTCACCTTCTTTACTATTTTCCCAACAAGTTTGTTTATGGTTGCTATCGCCGAAAAGACCCAGAAGAGGTGCAACAAGCACCATCTTGATAGGCGATTTTGCTCCATTTTTCGTGTTGTTTGCCGATGCGCGCCGGACTGTGGGATACATCGTTAAGGGAATGTTTTAAAAGGGAATGTTGAAGCTTTAAGGGAATGTTAAGGGAATGTTGAGGATTTAATGGAATGTTTTAAGGGAATGTTTATTTAAGGGAATGTTCATTTTTTTAAAGGGAATGTTCTATGGGGTTTACATTAAGGCTTAGAGGAATGTTTCGAAGCGTTAAGGGAATGTTGTTAAGGGAATGTTGATTTAAGGGAATGTTAAGGGAATGTTAAGGATTTAAGGGAATGTTTTAAGGGAATGTTTAAGGGAATGTTTCAACTGCAAAATTTTGAGTTTTTTTAAAAACCTGAACCGTCGGACGGTCCTGTACAGGGTGGCTTCTTCTCGCGGCGACGCAGAAAGCTAACATGTACATTAATACACCTTGGCTATAAGATATTTGACCTGGTTTTAAGAACATTTCATGACGAATTTTTCGTTGGCTCTGTACATGTGGAGAAGCTAGCCAGCTAGTACCAGCAGCTTAGATATCAATGAAACCTAGCTAGGTAGGTAACAAGACAATAATGTTAATAGAATTACTGTCAACCTACGGGTAGCATCTAAGCTCCATAATACTTTAGTGCCTGCTCCCATCCAGGGTTGCTAGACAGATTTTGACCATTAGCCATACAAAGTCCATAGGCACACTCGCCCATATACTGAACAGCTCTGCGTTGCTGTTCATACAAACTTAATTCTCTGTTGATTGCACTGAAGTTTTCAGTATCTTGTGATTTGAAGCCGTACAGGCAGCTCAATGAGCTTGAACGACATATCCCTCGATTCTTGTTCGTTCAATGGGATTGGAATGCCAAGAGCAATACGATGCTCCAAGTTCTCTTCAAAGAAACCCTGTCGAGCCATGGGCCTTTCGTCTTCAGGCACCTCAATTGATGGATAAGCCATGTAGAAACTTGAGTTCCTAGTAGAAGCTGCACTCTTCAGCCTAGCATTGGCATAGTGATCTATGCCCCTCATCCAGTGCTTTCGTCCCGCAGTCATTCCGAATCGCCGCCATTCGTGTCTGATCTTGTCATAGTATCCATAAATACCGTCCTCGTAAGTCTCATCATCCACCAATCTGAAGTTGGCATGATCAGAAAGAAGACAGCCAAAAGCAGTTAGACAATTGAGATCTGCTTTGACATGTCCACACCAAAAATACCATAATGGCCGCCATGTGACCTGACTTGTCATGTTGCAAATGCCAACACCAATGATTTTGCAACTGCTCTGGAACCTTGCTACTAGATACATGAACTACCAATCTCATATTGAGAAGGCTCTGTAAGTAGTCTGCCCTATCCAGGAAAGCTTGATCGATTATAGGCCGTTGATCAATCGGTAGATGGTCGCGGCCAAGACAATAGACTTCCACAACCAAATTTATCCATTCTGGGTTATTGAGTAATCTGGATGCAAGCTTTGGACTGCCGGACCCAAGCGTGGCCTCTCTAGGTTCCAGCACAGCCGCAAATAGATACCGTGGCTCCTCCACGGCCGGTGCCATATCTAGTTGCTGTTGAGGCTTGGTGATGATAATCGGCTTTGTCTTACACTCAAACGCCAGCTCCACTAGGCACTTGTGATTCGATTTTAAGTTGGTTGATTTGCCCTTGTTGGGCCATTGAATTTGCTCGGTTTCTTAATGGTGGGAAATGTGCCGGCATGACAAAAGGCTTCCAACTCAGGCACAACACTTTTATCGAAGTGATGAGGTTCTGCTGCCGCTATTGGGTTAGCCTCATCAAATCGGATAATGTCCTTCAATCTGATCTCACATTTCTCATTCATTTTTACGATGCCTTTGTCGATGTCGAGCTTTTTCGTGGCTTGTAGTTGTTTTTTAGCCTGAGCTTGGATCAATCTATCTGCTCGCAACTGGGCTTGATGTGCATGACTCAAACATTTGGCTCGCTGCTTATGCTCCTGGCTGATGCCTTGGTATTTAGGAACCTCGGCTCCCATTGCATCGGTATCCATGGGAAAGCCAAGCTCATCAAAGACACTCTCAGCAACATGTCCATATTGGTGTACTTCCTGTAACAATCGTGGCAGAGATAATTTGACAAGATCGTACAGTTCTGTTTCGATGTCGTCCCTGCAAGTGCGTAGCATACCATTGAAATTTAGAAACGCCAAATCCCTACGTCGGTAGACGGTCGGAAGTAAACCATTCTCAACAAAACTGGATGCTACTTTGGTAGTTGTCATGCACTTGGTTGTTGTCTCCGGTAAACAGCTCACAAAATCAACAAGCGCATCATGCTTTGATTGTTTGAGTTTAAAGACATATTCCGGTTTGCCAAAGCCAGAGATCCGATAACGATGTCTTTGAAATGATGGGCCTCGGGAAGAGTGTCTTTCAAAGTTGTTGTTTTGTTGGCTATTTTCAAATCTTTGAATATAGAGCAAATGTCACAAGGTTGTTCCGTAGCTGTGCGGGCCGCAGATTGTTTGTTGGTACCAATGCTCAAATCTTCGAATTGTTGCAGTAGGACCGGATCGACCATAGTAGCAAGTTGTGACATTCTCCATCACACCACACCATAGCTTGGAGGCTATCTGGAATTGGTAAGCCAGGCGTCCAATGACTACCGGGATCCTCTTTTCGTAGAGTTTCAATGAAGGGTAAAAGACAGTGTTTTGTGAAGAGCTGACATTTGACTTTTTCGGTGTCTTTGTTCCCGTCATTTCGGACCAGCATAATGTATCCACATTGATTAGATCCAACCGTAACACCCCCACCTCCAATAGAAAGTCCTCTCACTTTGATAATGACTGCACCAGACTCACAAGATTCTTTGGGCAATTCACGTTCATTCAAACCCAGCACTGAAACACAAAGTGGCCCAAATATTCCAGCGGCAGACATGAGAGCTGTCATTTTCACTCTGATCCCACCAGTAACAGCCGGAGCTGGCCCAGTATTGTACAGTGATCTTTTGCCAGTGTCAGTTTGATAAGAAGAAATGGCAGTGAAGAAAACCTCATTGGTGTTATCCGTGTTTAGCCCATTCATCGCCCACTCTGTTATATCGTCGGAGGAAATCAAATAGCTAGCGTGCCTTGATGGGGAACAAGGGAACTCCAGCAAAGAAATTGCTCACTTCCTCATAGACAAGTCTCTCAACAGTAGAATCATATTTGAGAAACTTTGTTACATCGGGATGCTCAATGATATCACCAGTAATTGTCAAGTGGGTAATGGCAACAACTGCGGTAAAGGCAGCGCTCGACCGAATAGAAGTTTCGGCAGTTGCGCGGGTCCGTGTTTTTTTAGACTGCTGGTGGGACAACTGACTCCTTCAGTCAACCTGAGCTGAGTTCCATAGCTGTGCAAGGTGTCCTTACAGGGAGTGGCAGCAGATTCTGACAGGAGCATCCTCCCGCTTGCTTCAAGCTTCTCCTTTTTGCGACTGATCATTTTTTCCTTTAGCTCCCCTAAGTTGATAGTTTTGCCAGGGCGAGTTGATAGCTCCTGCACGATTTCCTTCATTTCATTTTTGAGAGAAAAGAAGGCCTTCCAAAGTTGTTCCAATCGTATTGGGGAAATGATTCCAGCGTGCCACCCGTCACCTTATGTTCCTTCCAACGCTTCATCATTCGATATAGAGAAGCTTTCTTGACTGGAATATATGACATGCCAATAATCCCATCAATCAACTCGGCTTTGGCAACCGTTTTGGGGGCGGATTCAATCACCTAGATGCATTTGTGATGGCTGTACATCTTGCCATCAACTGGGGGTGGAATAACACTATCGTCGAGGGCCACGTCATCAGAAGATGTAGAAGTAGCTCTGGATTTCTTCTTTTGCAAGGAAGCAGATGACATTTGAGAGTCTGTATCATCAATGAGACTAGCCACTCTTTCAACAGAAGTAGATGGTGCTTGACTTCTTAAAGCTTGCCTGTTGGCGGTGGCAATTCGCTGATACCCTTTGTGGAAACCGGGGATGGGGGATAGTGCTCCGACATCACGTTGCTGTCTAACATTTTCCTGATCGATGTAGGTACTCAATATTGTTAAATTACTGGCAGCCTTCCTCTTTTTCAAATTGGAAGTAGAGGGATCAGTAAGAACCTTTTGGATTTCCTTGATGGCTTTGGAGGTTTCATCTAATCCATCTACCCGTTGGGTAATAGAAATGCATGAGTTGATTTTTGCATCCAATTTAGTTACTCTTGTAGTAGGCACAGCGGCTTCACTGTCTCCAGGTTTCCTTGGCCGCATCGGTGTATCCATGGCTCTAATTGTTGGGCTCGGTTAGACCGGAATTGCGGCTGGAGGCTGGCGGCACTGATAGAAAATCCAAAAATGAGTTCCCCACTTTGCTAGCCGTTCGTCACTTCCACGTCCACCAAATGGGCCAGCCACAACCACCACTGCGACAAGCACATCCAAATTATGTATTCCCTATCTCAAAGTATTGCTGGGGTGGCTCTATTGATTAAACTGCTATGGTACCTTTGACAACCAACACTTGGTTTTTTAAATGGAGATCTGGCTAAGCAGGAACAAGCATTCAACAGCTCCACGGAGATGAATCCATTCTGCGACCGATTCCGGGGTGTTCCAGAGAGTTCTCACCATTTTCAAAATTCTCAACATTTTCGTCCGAGTAGCAGGTAGACTGCAGCCTCCTAAAATCACAAGTTCTTTATCAGCTCTATACTACCCATAGTTCTTCGAACCATTTCTGGCTGCCTACTCTGCCATCGCACTTTCTCGGCTGCCTCAAAATGCCACAAATCAGGGAGATGGCTGCAGTTGCTGCTTTGCTTTGCTTACGATTTCAATAGGCAGTACGGTACAATGGCAACGTCAAAATAGTACGGTAGTACTCGGCTGCAGGACTCATTGTGGTGCCAAGCCAAGCATACCTGCCTATTCTTTGGGTGATTGGAAACTGGTACTAATGAATGGACTGCTGGGCCGATGAGGCCAATACTTGTCCGTCCGATGGGGTTAGTCGTAATACTGTAGGAACCATCCAAACCAGACAAGAGATCAGACACCTCTCCTTTCTATGAATGGTCAAGATCTGCAGAGCTATGCGCCCAAATCTCCAAGTTTGTTGTATAGTACAAAGCAGCAAACTGCTACCGGTAACAGAATCGGCTGCTTCTTGGATGCTTGGTGAGCTCTACATGTAGACTTTCTCCTAGTCCTGTGCTACTAGTATTTAAAAGGAAAGATGATAGGATGATCATAAGATGATAAGATGCTGGATACTAGCTATTAATAGTAGCCCAGTCCCAGTCAAACCAAAAAGCGGCCAACCCAGCAAGCTTGGCTATTCCAAACCTAACACTGATCGAATGCTGGGTCGCAGTACAGGTTGGGTCGAGCTTCCACCACCCCATCAGCACTAGTCAGGACTTCAATGTTGATTTCAGTGAAAGGAACATTAGTGTCAAGAGAATACAACACTGTCTCATTGGATGCTGTCACTGACAACCATCCAGAGTTTGTGAAACCATCACCATACCATTCTAAAAGAGCCAAGTTGTATCTTGCATTGGGGAGGACCTCCAGGTTGAAGGAGTAAATATACTCTTGCACTTGAAACGTGCCACCATCAAGGTCCTCCCAAACATCCTTCTCACTACTTTCACGCTGCCAGATCCATTCCATATCTTCTGGCCACCAGTCTGTATGGACATTCAACATGACTGCTGTTGCATCCTCATGAGCAGCCGGAAATCTGCCTGGCCAGGCAGGAAGCTCTTCCAAATACACACAAGTGGAAACTAAGGTCATGTTTGTGGAGCAGTCACAGGAGAGCACGGGACAAAGTTGCTCTGGAACAATCCCAGAAAAGTTGTTCCCATCAAGCCTCAGCACCACTGATGCATTGAACTCATTTGGTATTGTTCCTGTTAAGTCGTTGTCATTCAGATAGAGCTTTTCCAAAGATTCCATGGCAGCTACCTCGATTGGGATAGTACCAGAGAACTGATTCTTTTCTAATAGAACTTCCCACGCAGCATCCAAGTACCCAATCTCCCTTGGCAAAGTTCCAGTGAACATGTTCTCAGAGAGATGGAGTCGTTCCATGTTTGTCAACTGCCAAAGCTCCGATGGAAGTGTGCCGGAAAGGTTGCACCGATCCAACCACAGCTTTTCCATTTGTGTCAACATGCCTAGCTCACTTGGTACTGAACCAGTGAAATCATTGAAAAAGAAGGTGATGAAAGTAGAGGCAGTCAGCAAGCCAAGCTCTGATGGGAGTGCACCCGAAAGCTGATTATCCGACAGCGTCAATCTCTCTAGTCCACTCAGAACTCCCAGCTCGGATATGATTTCGCCAGTTAAGTAATTGCCGTTCAAATCCAGCTCAACCAGAGAAGGCAGGAGTGCAAGCTCTGTGGCTATTGGACCAGTGAGAGAATTGAAATCGAGACTCAAGGAGGTCAAAGCTGTCAAGCAGCCAAGCTCAGAAGGGAGCTCTCCTGTAAAAGGATTGTTATCCAATTGCAAGAATGTCAAACCTGTCAGGTCATAGACTGTTGGAGAAAGAAGGGTGGATAATGTCATATTAAGACCATTCCATGCCAACCCCAACGTTTGCAGTGAAGTCAACAGTGTCATCTCAGGTGGAAAAGAAGGTGACAACCCTGTTAGATCAAGATCTTCAAGCAGGAGGGATATGAATCTCCCATGTTCATCACAGGGAGCCTTCCAGTATTCCCTGTCTTCCTCCTCATATACACCGTTTGCGAAATATCCAACACCACTGGAGAACCAAAGACATTCATCGACCATGTCATCCATCCATCTATCCTTCACTGGTTTTGGCCAATGCACCCCCTCAAAGGAATGGTAGAAAGTGGCCATGGCAAAGAGCTGGGTTTTCCTCCATTCTGGCAAGTTGGTGATGTTTTGGTGATTGGAGAGCCAGTCCCATGCCAGCCACTGAGGTGTACCGTATTCTTGAAGGCTCTCCAGTGTGAAGTTTGGTAGATTCAGTCGTGTGGAATCCAAGGCTCCAGTGGGTGCAGAGGATGGCACTTCAGAAGGTCCCATGGAACCTCCGCTAGTGGGAGCAGGTGTTTGCATGTTGGAAGAATTTGCCTCCTTCTGGGCCCCAGCAACAGTCCCAACGATTGTGGCAGCGCCAAGAAGGATCAAAACTAAGATAAACCAGAAGGTTTTTTGCTGTTTCTTCCGTTGTTGCTCTCTTTGCAGGATAGCTTGGAGATTGACTGGGTTTGCTGATGGTCTGGCATGCTGCTCTGGATCTTCATAAACTATGTTGGCCACTGCTAACTGTCCCGACCTGGCATTGATGTTGCGAGGATCATCTTGCGGAGGTGCATCGGTAGGGTCGGCAACAAAAAGAGACAATCTTGCCGAATCCGCCCGACGTGGGAGGGCTCCACCTGGGCCACCTGCCATGTAGGCCCCTGGCCGCGACAAGTTCTGGACTGTTCGATTGTCAACAGTTTGATGATTTTGTTCTTCACCATGTACACCCCCTGTTGTTGTCGGTTCTCTCTGCACCTCAATGTCGTGGCTAGAGTGTGCATCGCTTCCAGGAATACCACTGTGTCTGCTATTCCTTTCTATCTTGACATGCTCCCGGCCTTCTGCGGCCCTCTCCAAAAGATGGTGCGCGTGAAAGAAGGCCAAGTCATGTCGTAGTTGGTGAGGTTTCTCTTCGGTTGGTTTTTGGTGTTCGCCTTGGCCTGTGGCATCAGTGTTGCCTCCCGGCACAGTCTGCATGGTTCCATCACCACCTAGTTGAACACCCTCGTTTATCTTTTCGTAGCCTTTTGAAGCAGCCGTGTTGGTGGTCGCCACGCCGTGCTCCTTTTCAATGGCAGCCTGGATGCTGGCACTGAAATCTGCCTCTGTTTGATACTCGTACTGCTTTGCTTCTAACTCGGGTCGTCTAGTGAGAACCTCCTGGATGGCTGACTGTCCATCGTCCTCTTTAGGTTCAACTTGACTGTGTGTTCGGTTGCCATAGTCATCGCTCCTCGATCCGGAGTTTGACTTTTCTTCTGCTTGACTTGGCATCGTTAGCTTGCTGTAGTGCTGTGGAGGTTTGCTGTTGTCTAAGCCAAAGTCTGTTGCTTTGTTTTCTTTCAGCTTGTGGGTTGTGACCTGCTCTTCAAGGGGCTGGTACTCCAGTTGGCTGCTGGTACAACATGCCGTAAAAGTATGCAGCATTGTTAGTGCACGTACATGTACAGCTGTACGGTATCATGGCAACTTTCCCACACTCGGTACAGCTGTACGGAGTACCGGAACGGTTCTGATTTGGCCACTATGCATACCGGTACCTGGTAGGATGTCAGCTCGCTCTTGCTGTCTATCTCTAACAAGTGAAACCTCTTGAGATCCATGGTGCGGCAATCGGTTATTCAATTCGTCCATGTACAGTATCATTATTGTCGATACGTTCATTGGTTCATTGACGTAAAAGGAGATCTCCTAGCAGCGTAGCTGCGTTAATTCAATCAGGTACTAGCCACTCATTGTACGTGCGGTGCACTACCAGCTACTACCAGGTAAGTACTTTAGAAGCTACAGAAGTCTATTAATTAATAGTACTCGAGCGAGTACGACTGTAGTACGGTAGGGTAGTAGGGTACCGGTATTTTATTTACAGGTACATGTATTTATTAATACTTAGTTAGAACGGACACTGGTACGCACCTACGATGTACTAGTACCTTACTGATCCGCTGATCCGCTGATCCCCAAAGAGCCTCCAGGAAGCCGTTTTGGAAGGCTGCGGCTGCGGAGTCTGCGGACGAGTCGAGTCTCTTGTTTCCGGGCAGGCGATCGGCAGGATCACTGACTGTTTTAAAAATCCGGTGGAAATGAAACGAATGATTTCATTCAGAATGATTTCATTCAGTGGAACTTGGGATGTGGAGCGGGGAGGTGACCATGTGACCATCGTTGGGCAAGACCTTATTAGCATCCAGGCCAAACAAGGTAACATCCGCCACGCCTTCATACGGTGTCTGGAGTCTGGAGGGTCAGCGGTGGCTTTAAATCGTTGGGGAAACTACTACGTTTGGGAAGAAGGGATGGAGTCACTAACCCAGGTTGACAAGCCGAGTGATTTCTTGAAGCGGTTGATACCTTGCTCGAGATCCCGTGGGAGACAAGAGAGCATCCTTGAAAAAAAACCGTTGTCTGCCGTCCTCTAATGGAAAGTCAATGGCTGGCTAGAGAGGGGGCACCTTCACAAGTGGTGCTGTCGGTATGAATAGTGGATGCTTGAGCCCTTGAGCTAATCATGATCAGGTTCTCTGGAACTGAAAACCTGAGCCAGGAAATTTCAACTCTGAACATGTAGAAGGACCGCTTCATTAGTGCAAGCGTAGTGCACTCGAGTGACTTGGACTCGTGAGCAAAGGGTCCGTGGAGATACCGATTGAAGGACGGTGGTTTTAGAGCAGGGAAGCAACCGGTTGATGAAGACCGACATGATGCACCGGTGAGTACATCCGTCTGGAGACGACCGCAACCAGTTGGTGAAGACCGGCAGGACGCACGCAGGTCGTCGCCATGAACGCTAATGAGGATACCGGTACTACGGTAGAGGTGCATTCACCGCTGAGAAGAACTCTGCTACCGGTACCGGTAGCCAGTGAGTGATACAACTTCCAGACTCGGTCATAGGTACCGGTACGGTATCGTATCGTAGCTAGCTAGCTATTAATAGCTAGTAGTGTTATGGCCAATACCTGGATGTCGTCGAGGCTTTAACTTTAATTTTGGTAACGACTACCTTGGCCAACTGGCCAGAAGGCAGGCAAATGGCGAAACGTAACTAAATGGCAACAAGACAAAAAAGATAGGCACAGTCCTGGCGTCTGAGTAGAGTAGCAATAGTAGCCAAACAAACCTTCCATCAAAGACGAAGGGTAACTCCCAGCGTCAAGAGTGTGGCCAGTGCAATGGACAGCACGCTGTGGCGAATTCTGGTGCCTCCTGATGAGATCATCACACCAAGAATATTATCTTCTTCGGCCGGCTCTGGGTAACTCTTTTTCACCGGCTTTTCCTCAACAACATTGCCGGAACGGGCCACAACTGCTGCACCAGAACCAGGAGAGTCTTCGGCAGTACACGCCACGGCAGAGCACGACGACAAGTCGTTGTCAGCGAGCTCGCGTTGCACGCAGGTGACCAGATTTTGCATGTGGGCCAAGCACTCTGCAAGACAACAGCTTTCGCCAGACAATACCCGGCACATATCATTCTGGAGGTCGCCGCAGGTAGGCCCCGTCGAAGCCCCTTGTCGGGCCACAACAGATGGGCCTACAGTTCATGTAAAGAAGTGCAAACAGATCCACGAGATGATGCATAGAAGAGTGAGACATCAAACTTGAAGGGCAAGATACAACTTCCACTCATCATCATACGACTCCACACGTAGACACGACGAAACACTTACCGTCGCCTTCCCTGATAGTTCCATCGCAATCGTCGAGGAATTGGGAGCAATCGGAAATGACACACTGGACAAAGATTTGCCATTCTGGACAAGCGCTATCGATGTCTCCGATGCGATACTCTCCAAAACTAAAGCCAAAGCCCTCCGGAAGAAAACTGGTGTCAAAACTTGTGTCCAAATCGATCAAGGGTGGTCCAGCGTAGTTAGAAGGAGTAGCGGGATTTTCATCGCCTGTGGGAGGATTCCCTGCGCCTGTGGGAGGATTCCCTGCGCCTGTTGGGGCGCTGGTGGAAGGATTCCCTGCACCCGTGGGAAGACCAGTTGGCGAAGATGTTGGTGTACCTGTTGGAGTTCCAGTGGAAGTGCCAGTAGGAAGACTAGTTGGCGGAGATGTTGGTGTTCCTGTTGGGGCGCCGGTGGGGGGAATCGGTGCTTCTTCCGCTATTGTCGTAATGTTGCCGGAGCAGTCTGGAACACTGCATTCAAGAAATTGTCCCACGGTCGCCTCCACGACACAGGTAGAGAGATCCACAATGGATTGCACGCAAGGGGCGAGGCAGCAGTCCTCATCGATGGGCCCGAACGCATTGCAGATGCCATTGCCCAGTGCATCACAGGTAGTGGTATTGCTATCGGTTCCGGCGGGTCCATCGAAGACGTCAAAGAGACTGGGGCAAGAAGTGAGGGCATTTGGGCATTCAAGAACGGTACATTGGAGCACAGATGCCCATTTCTTTGGGCACATGGTGAGTGCCCTCGTTGCATCGACTAACAAGTACGCGGAGAGCGACAATGTATAAGCTGGGTTGCGTGTGCATGATGTCAAGACACTCATCAAATCAAATACAACAATGGCTTACCAATCACTCCTGGAAAGATGGTCAAGTTGAACCGGTCAAGAA